AAACAGCAATACTGTCCATGTTGACCCACTGGCACACAAATTGATAATTTAATGATCTTTAAAACAGTTGCTTCAGCAACAATTTCACTTTGAATTTGGGAAATTATAATTAATATTGATGTTCACTCTGGAATGACTGATATTTGGAGTGAAAGCAGGCATCCACTGTTGCATTGAGTGGTGGAGATTGATTGACTGACTCTCGATGGACTGTCCCATAGAGCAAGGCTCAGTGTCTTCATCAGCTAACATAGCTTCTAGCTGAGAATCAGTTAACATCAGTAGTGATGAATTTGATGTCTCTGATGATGTCTTTGCTGGCACAGGATCACAGTCTTCAAGGATACTGCTGGTAGTAGGCTGGGGAGTCTCATGCGCTGTTGAGGAATCTTGCTCTGGTACTGGGGCTGTTGCGTTGGGTTCTTTCGGTGGGGTTTCCAACAGAGCCTTGCTTAAAGCCTGTTGAAGAATCGCGTATACGCCTAGAGTAAGTTTGGATGCTTTGTTCGCTTTTGTGGCCGCTTACTTTCATTATGTGGCGATCTCTGAACCCTGCTTCGTCTAAACTTGTAACAGAAGTAGCACGTATCGAATGGTTGGTGTAGGTCTTGGATAGCTCACATTCCCGTGAGATGGAAGGCATCAGTGCTGCTAAGGAGTTCTTCCCAACTGGAACTCCAGTGTACCAGGTAGTATCGCTTGCCATGATGCTTGACCGTTCACGCTGCCAAAGACACTTACTGACAGGACTCAGCTTCTTCAGGTACTTTTCAAAGGATGCAACTGGACAGAGTGGCTGGTCTAAAATCAGAAACAAAGGTGGGCAAAAATATATTTTTTGAACTTAAAATTGTTATAAACATGGTAAGATTGTACTTTAATACCCCTACTATACTTTCCTTATTACAGCTTATCAGCCATAAAAAAAGTGAAATTCTGATAAGAAAGCATGATTTTGGAGCGGATTATTTTTTTCTTCTTAGGAAAAACATTTTTTTTAGACGAGATCCGCAGGGTTTGTGCATGGGGTCAAAAGAGAAGGTAGGCCCTATTAAAGTAAAATTGTTCCATGGGGTAGGGCCTAATAAAATTATGGAAATGCACTTTTTAGAATGGGTAGGGAGTGGTACGAGTATCAATTCATAATTCTCAAAGCTGAGGGCTAGGAAAATTGGTCAGAATTCATTACAAACAGCAAAACCAACCTGGTTGTTCTACCATGATGCCATCAGTCGCTACCTCCTCTGGATTATCCTTTGAGTTGTGATTTTTGTCTTGCTCGTCTATGACCTGGCGAACACATCGTAGTCCACTTGATGTTTTTCCAAGAACAAAGTGCTCTTTAGTCAACTCTCTCATGTTTTCTCGACCGCGGCGACATAGGTAAAACATAATGTCAAATTGCACCTTCTTACGAAGACTACGAGCATCAGTAACATCAAAAGATTTGTACAGTTTTGCCAAATCTTCCTCTTCGATCGGGGGATAATGGTTGACTTGACCGAATCCAGTTTTTTTCAGTTCCACTTGCCTTGCTCGGTAGGCAGTTTCCGATGCCACACAATTTGGATCTGCTACAATGTCAATCCCCCGATGCTTTTTAAGGTGTCGGCTTATTCCATAACGGATTCCACTTAGGCCATTTCTGTGGTATGATGTCCCATTCTTCTTGTTAACGTTTCCAAAAAAGTCTTCAAGAAGACTGTCCAGTTCTTTTACAGGAAGTGTCTCGAAACGAGTGTCCCTGCCCGTTTCTTCGCAGAATTCTCGAACAACGCGGACTGCGTAGTCGGTACAACGTTTGGTGTTCGATGAGTCTTGTTCAAAAGCTAAATCTTTTATTTGTTGTTTGGAGCGGCTCAAAAACCTTTTTTGGGGCAGAGAATCTGTGCCTCCGGGCTCACCTGACATGTTGAGGCTGATGAGGATTGTATACGAAAAAACTAACTGAGTCAGCTCTTCATTTTCGAAGTTCTGAAGGCCTAGGCACCGCAACTAAACGTAAACATAATTCGTCGCTGGCCGCCAAATTAAAGTAAATATCGTCTGCAAATGCACTGCTCCCTCACTGCTATTGTGGAACGTGAAAGTACAGCGGGGTACCAGTGAGTACAAGTATAGTCTGGTTTAAACGCGGTCCGTGCATAATGGTTTGGACTGTGGGGCGGGGACTAGTCTACAAGCATGTGATATCACAATGTGATATACAACGGGAGTGTGCCATGCATATTTATCGCCCGGTCAGGTGATCGTCATGGGCCAATGAAAATACAGTATAAAGACAGAGGTATGACAATATTAGTTATCAACTTGATCAGATTTATAATTCATGAGATATGCTAATAAGGGTCTCAAATTAACACTTCCGGTAACACCAGAAGTAGGGGTCACATGACTTGACATACAAATTTTCATCTATAACACTTCCCTGTCTATCTACCTACATGGTTTGAGATCAATCGGTCAAATAATTCTATAGTTATGAGACTGTAAAGATTGCCTCATTAAATATTCATGAGGTCATAAAATGAGAACAAATCTGCACGGTAATAAAAATGGAACATATTTTTCTTCAAATGTTGCTTCATTATAATATACGGTATCAATCCCATCAAATGTATCATTCATGAGATAAAATAATTAAGGTCAAAAACTACCACTTCTGGTAAAACCAGAAGTGAAGGTCACCAGGACCTTGGCATATCAATTTTTATCTATAACACTTCCCTGACTATATACATACTGAGTTTGAGACCAATCAGTCCAATAGTTCAATAGTTATAAGACTGTAGAATATGAACATTCAAATCGATGTCACGTGACCCCTGTTGACGTCACGATGACGAAAAGTTTCGACATACATCTTCAGATGATGGTTAATGACTATGGAAAGTTTAAAGTTGATCAGATTTAAAATAATTCCCAAAGTGGCTTGTAAGAATTACAAAACCTATGGGAAAAGTGGAAAAAGAAAAAAAAAAGAAAAAAAAAGAAAGACAAAAAAAACTTTAACGAAAACAATAGCTGTAAGAAATCATGGACTAATGTTTTGCTGGAAACTTCAAAGTTAGGGACCCAAATAGCAGGCAAAGCCGAAATGGAGACAAAGTCTACTTTTGGAATACCACTATGTAACCGTCGTCAGCTTCAAAACAGTACTTGACACAGCAAAGCTCGCCCCTTGTACGATCCGAGTGCATACTTAACGCAACAGAGTCGTCACTGAATTTCAAATTTTTTAAATACAAGCAATGAATATTCATTATCAACTCATTCTTAAAATTTCTAATAAGAATGGCAGGTAAATAAACCCTATTTTATACCCCAAAATACCCAGGCGCTTTCCAAGAGTATCGACGAAATGCATTCTCATTTTCAGAAACAGGAGGCATTCCTCCCATTTTGGTCCTGTGCCGTGGCGGCTACCTGACCTGAGATTCATCAGAAATAGTTAGAATCTTTTGGTCTGGGAACCAGACTAAGGAAACAAAATTCTTCAATGTTCCCCGATGTCCCTCAGGGTCTTCGTACCTTGGCACACTAATTCCACATGGCCAGATAACAAATTTGAATTGATGGCTGTTCTACACATCCTTATTTTCCCAATCTGCCAGGGAAAACAACAAACATATAATCTTGGTTGGGATTATATAGGTGTAAATATAAACAATTTGTCATGAACATTACAACAACCCTATCATTAATTTCTGGCCAAGCTTGTGTAGCAACATTTACTACACTATCAGTCAAGTTTTTGTTACATTATGGGTTAGTGATACAGTATTGGTCAATAATTGTTACAGTATCAGTTGGCGATACATTATCCGTTGGTTATTATGCAAAAAAACCCAACATGATTGGAGGATGGACAGTCGATATTTGCTCCCCAAAGTACTGGAAGTTGACAAACTAGTTCCCGAGGCTAAGCCAAGGGAACTACTTTGTTAACTTCCAATACTGAGGGGATCTATTATCGACTATCTACCTGAAACAAACGATGTTATATTTGTTTTTATCCCTCATACATATTCAGTTGCTAAATTGTCCCGTTGCAGTATGCACTGCTTGGGCATAAATATTCATGGAAACTTCCCAGCTCACCAAAAGAATATTATTGTTCAACCTCAGAAAAGTTCAGTTCATTTGCAAATACAGTTGCCTAGCTCCTTAAGAGTTTATACCGTATTGTGGAGAACTTTTTTGGTAGAGGAGACATCTTTATTGTCCACAATATTCTCCAGTTTGGGATAATGCTAATTAACATTTACCTGTAATGTTACACCGCCATCTTTTCATGTGTAGCTAGGGTGATGTTCACGCGTGCGTACTACACCTGTGCGACAGTTCCACGATTGCTTCATGAGGCGCATGCATAGTAGACTGTCAGTAACCCGTGCGACAGTCTAGTATGCATGCGTAATTTACTCTGTGCGTAAATCTCACGCGCGATTGGTAAACAGCAAAAATACGTAGCATCTGGCATATGATGGTAAATGGACAAGTGAGAATTCGGCTCTCGATCATGAATATGTATGAGGTATAGTAATACATTATCAGCTGTAACAGGCTGCTTCTCATGTTATGGCTTCTCATGTTATGTCAATCAAGCTTCTGTGTGTTTTGTAAAAGGGGAGGTACCCATTTTTTACCTCATTTTAATTATTCATTACTCCAATCACAAGTAATTCACACTGCGAAATAGTTTACGTATATGTTTTAATTTTTAAGTAAAGTATCCGTTGCAAAAGCCAAATTATTCCAATGGAAACTAAGAAACAACTTTAGAGGCTTTAAACAATGTCCCCTTCACACTTTTGAACATAATTTTATTTAAGACATAAGTAAAAATTGACATGCAAATAAAGTTCATGCTTGTTTAAAACAAAAACAAACAAACTAAATGTGGTGAAGAATGACATGGACTTTTGAGTCAGTTTCAAACCATGTGAAATTTGGTGACGATTCTCTTACTTGATCAAGCCTACTAATCCTAAACATACCTGTTAGGTCTGTCTTCTGAGATGGACAATCTTTTCCGATCTTTGTCTGGTTTCTTGGTAGAGCTGTGTTTGATTAATGAAGAACGTTCCACTAATGAACGACGCGTATCTGTGGGGAAAATGTATGAGCATGGTGTAATTAGATCTTTAAGGAATCTAATTTCATTGATTTCTGTTGACGCCAATGACTAACATTGTGTATTCTTGATAAAGGGGCTCCATAATTTGTCACCTGATACAATCACTGCAACACAGCTACGGCTGAACAAAAGCAAAGGAGTACCTTTGTACCAATTCATCTTTGTGGAAGTTTACCAATGGAGTGCTGTGGCACATGAAACATGTGAAGCAATACATATCGGGCGTCGATCCGGGGGGGGGGGGGGTCAAAAACCCCGCAGCTCTGTTAATTTTTTTTTTTCCATAGAAATTCATAAAAAAAAATGTGAAACCTCCCCCCCTCTGACACCCAAAAATGTTTTACTTGTAATAATGTCCACCTCTGGACAAAATGCAGACAGAGGTTAGGGGGTGTATGTACACTATTCTGTGCTATACAAGGGCGGATCCGGGGGGGGCCAAAGGGGGCCATGGCCCCCCCCCAAAACGAAACCAATTTTTTTTTTTTTTTAATGTGACATCGCAATAAAGGCAGGCAATGAGTACACCACCATCTTTTCCTCAAAAAAAATTGGTTAAAGTGGTCAGAAATTGCCTCAGATCGCACCACAGAGCATCTAGAATCCAAAAATTTTTCGGGGCCCTCACTGGCCCCGAAACCCACGCCGTAATTTTTGAGACCCACTTTTTTGGGGGGGGACCAAATTTTTTTTTGGCCCCCCCCAAAATTGTGTTCTGGATCCGCCCTTGGTGCTATAGTGTTTAACAATCGTCGGAATTGAACAGCGCCCCATTGAAAATATGGTTACCCCCCCCCCCCCCCCCCCCCCCCCCCCCCGGAGAAAACATTTCAGATTTTTTGGGGGATGATGAAACACCCCCCCCCCTTGAAAAATGTCTTGATTCGCTCCTGCATATACATCATACATGTCTATCAAAAGAGCTTTACCTCTAGGAAACGGTGATGTTGGTTTCTTCTTTCTAAGCGGTAAGCCCATAGTGTTAGCATGAGCAGCACTACTACCTCGATATGGCCCAGGATCTGATCGCACACTGGGACTATATTCATGTGCGTCTGTGCTTGCAATAGATGTTGGTGACCCTACATACATGCAATTCAAAAAGTTCATATTAGTTATTCAATAAAGGTAGATTTCATCAGCCAACACTACTAAAAAAGAAATAATAAATTTGCATGACAGACAAATGACTCTGCTCATCTGAACTGACCTTAACGCTAACAGACTCTGTGTAACTTTAGATTGGATAACAGGTCAAGTACAGAAATGTATTGTGAATTTAGTATAACACAATTAGGTTTGTGCTAAAACTTTGTGTCAGAAATATGAAAATGATAAAATACAGTGTGCAATATATGTAGAAGTAACTAACGTAACTTTATTTAACTTTTTTTTTTTTATAGTTAAAACTTCTTTTTATATTTATTGCTTGTTGTTTTCACGTATGCCATTCAGTTTGGAGAACCCCTAGACAGAAACAACGTTTCTTTTGGGCAATCCTTCGGAAGCTGAATGGTATTTTGTTTTTGTTTGTTTGTTTATGTATCTAAAGCTTTTGTTGTTTTGTGTTGTAACTTTAGTCATTTGTTTACATGTACTTGTTGATATTTTCCCGAGAAATAAAATAGTATAGTATAGTATAGTATACTTGTTTTGGGTTAAATTCATTACTTCAATTTGGAAAAGCCGAAATGGGTCTCGATTGCTTTGTTGTCTTGGTTCAACATGAATTGATGAACATATTGGCAACATGAATGCATACTCACATGAAGTAGTTGTTGCTATAAAACCTTATGCAAACTTTTATTTTTTTTAATCATTTAAAGTGCTGCCTTACTTTTCCATGTAATTGAACCTGATTATAAACACGGCTGCATATATAATTCACAACTATAATGAAATTCATCAAAATTATAAACTTCCGATTTCAGTATTAATGAACTAATTTATTCAATGGACTAATTTGATTAGGAGACTTACCAACTGGTTCCTTGCTCGAGGTCGTTTCCAAAGCCAGATCCATGATATTCTTCAACAAAGATGGCTTCTTCCTAGTGGGTGTCGGTGGGGTGGAAGAATCTGATGAATCAGATCGAAAGAGTGCATTGACCTTCTCTAGGAATGTGGGTGATGAGCGCTCATCTTTGCCACTTCCTCGTCTTCTTACATCAGCATCCAATGATGGACTGTCTGGTGCATTGCTTGATGATACTGTACCAGCTGCGGCTGGTTTGTGTTTGAGGTTCAATCGAGTCACTTGTGCAGATGTGTCCGAGTCATACTGAATACTATCTGCATCAGCATCACTGTCTGCTTCCATATCTTGCCCTGTCTTACTCTGTACAAATGGAAATGAATACATGTATGTATCAATGAGTGTAACACTAGCATCTGATTCACAGTGGCATCAGAATTATAAATAGAGCAGGAATGGATGAGTGCTCCATTTACATGCAAATGACAACCATAGTTATTTTTATTATTATTACCACCGTGAAGTATCATTTGGCAGTCACCTTAGCATCAGAAGTCATACCTTTGGGAGACAGGGGGGGGGGGGGAATTAGAAATGTCTCCCTAATGCCTCAACTCCTGTACCGTCACAGAAATAAATCAAAATATAATTTTAGTACTTTTAACATCTGGTACTTAATGTGTAAGAGTTAAAAAAAACTTGTTATTTTGGAAAAAATATGTTGTTGCAAACCTTACGCCACTTCCGCGATTGCGTACAAAGTCTGTGGAGAGTGAAAAAAAATTTAAAAGCATTTCCTAACAAAATCAGAAATGTTTCTCAGTCCCAGATTCATGTCTTATCATCATTTTTGCAATGAATGATCTTCATTGAGATGAAATATGAAAAAAAAGTGGTGTCAGGTTGCGACATTTTTTTCGTTATTTTTTTTATCAAATCCTAAATACAGTTATTGCAGTTATTTAGCAGTTTTTAACATACAAGAAGAAAAAAAATAGCATATAAGATCGATGCAGATTTTAAACAGAGGTACCAGTACTTGTAATTCGGCTACATATCTCATAGCCAATGGTTGAATGTATATTGTAACAGATAGCTGTTCCTGATCCCATGTCAAAAGAGCAATTCCATTTCACTATGGGCTTTGTGCGCCAACAGAAGAGGGCGCCTTTTTAGCACTTTTGAGCCTTTTTAGCACTTTTGAGAGCAACGTGGACGGGGGACACAGCGTGTGCATATTGTACTGGCTCGCACGCAAAGTACTCACAACTTCCTGAATGTGTATTAGCCACAGCGTCTTCGCGTGAGCGTCAGCTGTCGTCGGCACGCGAATGCATTTGAATTTATCTTGCGATGGTCTCCCAGACTAAACCCCACCCCCAATAGCTTTGGAATATTCAAAATAGATTCTAGATCTCCCCCAATTCTGGCCGCTGAAGGGGTACTTGTGCACAGAACTCACTGGGGGAGGGGGTAACTAACCCTACTACCCAACCAAGACTATTTCCATTTTATATTACCAGCAGTTTTGCATAAGATCCCTATCCTGATACATAATAGAGTTTATATATGGGTTTTCTATCAATATTTAAACAACTTATGATTGGGTCCATACTTGTCATCTGTGGTTTTATCCTGCCATGAGGACTTGGTAAAATTGGTAAAGAAGATGGATTTTCCTGTCATTAAGGTTTAAAATGGTTGGGGAAAAGGGTAGACGATATCATGAAGTCCAGCCCTTGTCGGCTGGGCTTAAAATGCACCTGTGACAAGAAACACCTTCAGGGACCTCCCTACCAGACTAAATGAACACAAAGCCCATGGCAGATGGGTAGACAAGTTTTCCATAGTCAAGCATTCCCACACTGAAGACCTAAATAGCAACTGGCATCAAGCTAAACTCATCACAAGCATTGAGCACTGGTTTCCAACCAACATCCAAGAGGCCATCAAGATGTACATGCACAACACAGTACACCAAGACACTCCATTCTTTCTAAACAGTCCAGTGCATTATCTATACCAAAGGACAACATGTAGTTTTCCCACCCTAGTCAGCCTATTGTTGTGTCTGTATAGCGCCCTCTAGCAGGCGTTGGCAGGAAGTACGTCATGTTGAATGAGAAGTGATAAAAGTGTTGTATCGTTAACATTCTCTGCATCCTATACCCTTGGCAACCTTCCCTGCTTCCTTCTGCTACACTCACACATCTCACTGATCACATAATATCACCAGCCTCAGCTGAGTTGTAACTATCGCACCTTATACATGTAATTAACCTACATAACTATATTCTCCTATATAACTTTCCACCACCAATGGAATGCCCGAGTCTCCTGATGACTAGCAGAGGCAAACTCTTCAAACATTGAGTTTCCCCCTAACGTTGAGAGATTTCTTGTCACATGATGCAACTGAAAACCTACTCATATTACTAACTTCAAAATGTAAAGCTTCAAGTCTTACTTGTGGCTAAAAATGGAACAAGAATACCAGTATCACCATATGATTTTTGCTGGATGCATATAAAGCAGTGGCCTGAAATTTCAAGGATTTTTAATTAAACACTAAATAACCAAAATTCAATTGACACAATTTTTTCCAACCCGAGAAGAATATTTTGGGAACAACGTTTTGAGTCATAATTAATGTACAACATTTGCCTTTCGTAATTTTATGAAATTGGGGGCTACATATAATAATTCATGTCAAATATCATTCCAATGACCTGTTCAATCTTTTGGGCCTACTTGTGCCAGAAAAACAAGAAAAAACACTTGCTGAATATGTTTTGCATCAAACCTTTACCCTGGCTGTGTCATTGGGACAAAAGTTACATACATGTACAGTACACATACCTTCATTACCCAGCCTAACCATGAGGTCAATAGTTGGCTTGCGCCTGTAATGGGATGTAGCATTTGAAAACAACAGTCTTTTTTCAAAAATCGTTTGGCCTGGCAACCATTTACTTATAATCAAGTAGGCTATTTAAAAATAATTTGGCAGTTGCATTTTCAAAGATGTGCTAATGTTATACATTAACTTTAAGGCATGGTGATAATTTTCTGTACGATTAATTGTGAAAGGGTTTTTAAAAATTTTGAAAGGTGCTTCTAATCCCAATTATACAGAATCAAAGTTTTGTGGTTCTGTAGTTATAACCGCTAACTCTTGTTCCATTTGTGTTTCCCTCTACTACAAATTTCATTTATTTTGAAAACAATTCATTTCCTTTAATGTTGTGCACCTCAACCATAACCATATCAACTGTTGCAATATTGTGTACATGTAGGTTGTGTATTTGAAAGTTGTTTTCCCATGGGCTGACACAAGTAACTATGAGCTAAATGAAGCTACTCCAACCTACTCACTCTATCTATACAGTTCAAGGTTTCATGTACGCACTCAACATTGCCAACCTGTCCATATTCAGGAGTCCCTTCTTTTGAATGCTCGCTATATTTATGGAGTGTGTGATACCTGACATTCATCATCTCGCCAACATTGTTATTTACAGGTTTGAAATGTGAGCAAAATCTTTATGAGTATGATTTGATGATCCAGGATTGCAGTATCTTGTTCATCTTCAGCATTTCTGAATGCAGATACAGAACTTACATTTTCTTTTAAATCTGAAATATTAAAACAACATGTGGACAAAACCATCTGACAAAGTAGACAAAAGAAAAGTTCAATATAGTAATAGACACAAAGCATGCATACCCTCCAGCCTGATGCAATGCAAAGCTCTTCACCATCTGATGACTGCAGTAGGATATTATGGGATTTGCAAAGGTTGGGCATGATGGGAAATAGGGAAAGGCATGGTGGGAATCAGGTGTTGAGGGGTGTGATATATTAAGATAAGCAGTATTAATACTCTACAATAACACATTTACAATTCAAAAGTGCCAATATACTGGTGTCTTAACTGACAATATTTTTAATGAAATAATGTGAAAATGAGCACGAAAGAGAGATATTTTTAAACATTTTTTTAGCTGTTAATACTTTTTACTATACCTCAGGCAACCGCGGCATTTCATTGATCCATTCCAGCAACTAAACCGTGTGAAATTTTTACTATTTCCCCGCGTCTTTGTACGCGCGTGACGTGCAAAAACCAAGGGGGTACTATCACACACCTGGGTCGCAGCCTTAGATTTGTTCCAGTACTGTGTTATCTCTTTACCAACAACACATGCGCTTTACGTGCGTTCAGTGGAGAACACCAGTGAGGACATTTGTGCCAGTCTATTATGGCATTAATCAAAATGGCGACCAGTGGTGCTAGCTTTGCGATTTTAACTGAGGAGGAACTGGGTGAAATTTTACACAATAATAACAAATCCAGTGTTTTGCGTGAATGTTAAAGTTATTAAATGACACAAAATAAATTAACTTTCTATTCTGTTTGTCTCCTTAAATTAAAATAATGTGTTAAATACATGGTGGAATGGACCAATGAAATACCGCAGCTGCCAGATTGAATATTTATGAGGTATAGTAAAACAAATACTACATGTTTTTGCAGAGAAATAGTGAAAACAAATGTTGGATGATTGGGACTATCTCCCTCGGCGAACACCTCAGGGTCATTAGTTTTCACTATTTCCCCACAAACCATGTTGTATACTAAAAGTAGAAATATCTAACCACACCTGTTAATTTTTTTTAAAGGTTTAGGGTTTTTGAGGTTGTGTTTTCATCAAGTGTGTTTTATCATTTCAAATATGACCAGCTTGAAAAAAAGCTTTAACTTAGCACTAGCTGCATGTAGCCAAAACTGACAAGGATTATATCTAACGTATGACATGATTTACCTCAGGAGATGTCGTATCCTGACTACTAGATGAATCAGTTTCTGGAAATGAGTAAGCAGAGTCACTCTGTGACATGTCAGCAGGAATTTGCAATGTATCAGGAGGATGGTAAATGCTGGTTTCATCTACCTGGCTCCTCAAGCCCGAGGTCTCTTCATCATCTGCTTTAGCACAAAACAAATCCACAAACAATTACAAGAGGTAGAAAATGAAGGATTATGTGCACATGACATTTCAACATTGATTTCATGTTGGTAAAAGGTATGCCTTTACAATAATAAATAATACTAATAATAGTATGTATTAAATTACAATTATTTACAGAAGTATTTAATTAATCAGCTAATTACCAACAGGTAGGGATAACAATGAAGCATAAGCTTTTCAGCTTATCCCTAGACATACAAAAATAACACAAAACTAGCAAACACAAGTACATTACCTACATGGAACACAAGACACTACGTTAAGCGAGACCCGACAAGCTTACATGACACAAACATTCAGAATTGTGTGAACATCTACGGGCATGTTGCAGAAATGTTTGTCTGACTTGTACAATTAATGAGGGGATGATACTTTGATGGAGCAGTTACAAACATGTGGTTTTAAACCAGTTACAGGCCTGGTCGCCGATAATGGCCACTGGTTATGGCTATGACCCACGACCTGGCCCTTAAGAGTTTGAAACATCACATTTTGAAAGTTGTTGGTGTTACTTACAGTCAATGGTGAACCTACCTTTAGAACCTATTTTGTCTTACACCACACACACAAAAACAATTCCTGGTACACTTTTTTTCCCAAACGAAATAATAAAAAAATGAAACTGGAACCCTTTGATCTTGATTTAACATGGATCCAGGAAAAAGATGGTCTGGGCCAATTACATGGCGCTGCTTAACAATTAGCGGAGAAGTTGTTCTTAATGTAGCAGAAAGTTGCACTAATCTTAAGCACTATTTCATGATGCGGATGTGCTAACGATGGCGCGCGCATGGAAATTTCTATGTTATGTCACTGACTTAAACAACTCTTTCCTCTTGAGGCAAGCGTGCCTTTTGCTGTGGTTACTGCTTACAGTCTCCATGAAATAGACGAAGGCTCTGGTAATAGCAGAAAATCATAAGCTAAGCAGCGCCATGAAAGTGTACAGATTATGGCGCAAAGCAAACAGATCTGCTGCACCCAAACCAGCCTGTACGTGAGTAGTATGTGGGTGAACATGTACTGTATACACATTCAAATCGTGGACATTGGGTCCACCACTGACCGAAGGTCCACTTTTTATGTGTATATGTACAAAACGTAATGTATGTCTTTCTAAAAAGTTAGTGCATAAAGAGGGACAAAATATTTACAAAGATGGGCGTGTTCATCTATTCAAACTGTGGACGAAAAATTCCAGAGAACAAAAGAGAACAATATCGTCTACGATTCCCAGCATACGCCGCGTTTGGGGTCGTGTACAAAACCTATGGGAGTCTTCCTAAAACGTACACACAAAAGACGGACAATAGGACATCCACGACTGATGGTGTGAACACGTTTGTGGGGGTTGTGTGTGCGGGTCGCTCCACATATGTATACAAAAGCACTTGGATTTTGATATGGTTGTTGCCTAACTATATTTACGCGTATGTGTAATACAATTTTCAACTTTTGCAATTTTTCGAAACTTTAACTAAAATACCACATACATGTACGGACGGACAGACATACTCGGTACGGTACAATACCAGTACTTACACATATAGACATACAGACAGACATAGTGATTGCATGGTCTCTTTCCTGAAATTCGTTCAGGCAAGAAAAAAGGAAAAAAATTGTACTTTTTGGTGGCTGCTCATAAAACTATCTTCCTTTTGTGTAGTATTTCTTTAAATTTTCCATCAGATAACTGTGTTACATTGTAGAATTGTTGGCCTGATGATGCCATGCTGGACCAAGCAGGCGTGGTACGGCAAAATTACAGGAGGCGGAATTGCTAAAAATACACCATTTTTTTGGTTACTTTTTTACAAAAAAAAAAACAACATGAAGGAAAGATCATTCACATTTGTATCAGACATTTGTATCTCATTAAGTTTAAGAGCTTTAAAATTCCATGCACAAGAGAGCTTTGCCCCTGCAGATTAAAAATACCAGCACAGCAGGGAGCATGCTCTCATATAGCCCAATGTCACGGCCTGATAGACTTGGTATGTACTATAAGAGCCAATCTAAACCAAAAAAGACCACACAATATATTGTGTGCTAGTTAACACTAATGCGTGCATGACATGGGGGAACAATGTGTTTAATTTTGCAGATATATGCAGATTAATAAAATGTTTACAGGACAACTTCATGGTCAAGCTACATAACATTGACTGGTCTATACCCTAAAATACAGTGACTTTGGCCATACACAGTACACCAAGTGTTTAGATACTGACCTAACACATCTCCCTGGATGTCACTATTCATCATGTCAGTGACAAAATCATTTAGTGAGGAGTATGATGAGCTACTACTGCTACCTCCATCTGACTCCTCACCACTTTCATCAGTAGGATTAGATGAATCAGACCAAGCCTCAGTACCACTGTTAACTGGAATCCCCAAAGTGCAGTTGTCAAACTGTACCTGTAATTAAATCAACCAGTTAGTCAGGAATTCATTCGCAGCACGTTCATTCACAAGAATGCTGTTGCATGCTATTTTAGAAAGGGTAAAGTGGTTTCACTTAAAATAATCATTATTGTTTATTCTTAATGTTGTGCTCAGCAAAGAAATGAAGTGGATTCCCACAGGGAAGTGTGGATGGGGTTTAGGAACGAATACTTACCTGTACAGGGTGAGTAGAGCAATCTAATTATGCATATTCCCTAAACCGGAAGGTATTTACAGTTTAAACAATAGCGCCCTCTGGTGTCCTACCCATGGTGCCCTGCGCTCTTCCCCTTTTCTTGAACACTAAAGTTGGTGCACCCATATATTCATCGAGAATAGTGGGGTAGGAGGGAGGGATGCTCTTTGGATAAGTATTCATTCGTAGACCCCATCCACACTTCTGTGGGGGTGAGTCTACCGGTACTTCACTCAACTTACCTGTAGAGCAATCTATTTATGTATAGACCGCACCGGGTATTAGGTGGTGGGTTATGCGAGATGCTATATTACAGGGGCACGTGGCACGAGGCGTAACCCCTGGTGGGCCCCGCTGCTCCACAAGTGGGTGGGCAAGGGGGCCCAGAGGCCCTGGGTGTTACCACTTCAGAGCCCTGACTGGGCACCAAAATTTGTCGTCTGGAACGGACAAGAAAGATCTGATGTCCGGGACAAAGAAGTCTGAAGAAGAAAAGAACTCTGACTGAGTCTGTGGCTGTGGGTGCCGGACGGGAGACCACTGATGTGGTAACGGTTCCACGCTACTAGTAGCTACAAACAGCCACTCCTAGGAACTCGGTCTGTCTCGGAGGAAGTTCCATTCCCCCTGCAGTGAAAAGACCAGCTCTATCCAAACATTTTATTTTCATGAAATAATCTCACTAGAACACAACACTAAAACTCAACTACAAACTCTAAATCGAAAACTTCTCTTAATTTGCCATAACAGGCAGTCAAAAAACGAGAAATAATACTAGAGTATTATAAACACGTCCTGCCCGACCTGCCGCTGAGAGAAAAGAGGAAGAACGGGGGCACTATGGGCAGGACACCAGAGGGCGCTACTGTATAAACACTTAGCGTAAATACCTGCTGGTCTAGGGAAATATACATAAGTAGATTGCTCTACAGGTAAGTTGAGTGAAGTAGACTCACGCGTTTAACCTGCAAGCTCAGCCTTAGACCAGGGATCTATCCAGCTTGGTGCACGGTAAAATGTTATGCAGGTCACAGGTTCAAGTCCCACTACATAAAATCTTGTTTTTTATTCATATTTGTTCAAAGTGAACCTAGTCAACTCACAAATTAACATTACATTTTAAACATTCATACAAAACAGCTATGCTTTTGTTACACCTCCTTAATAGTATACTCAACGCAGAGTTTAACATATCTTTTCAAGTGTGATCAAGAAGGACGAACGATAACAGCCTTGTCAAAAGTGCAACAGTTAAAAGGTATTAAAATGATGTGCTTCCCGCTTTACTAATTGTATCTGATACCTTATATACATTGTACCTCATCGCACATGCCATGCTTGTCTGTATGATGTCATAGGACATTTTAATCACTCCCAGCTATCATACTCATACCACACGATCATTTTCTACTGATGGACGAGTGTTGACTATTTCAACATGAGTATTCATGAATAAACAAAGTTGTGAGTAGTCAAGAACTCATGAGTAGTTGACCCAATTTCCACAAATAGAAAAATGTTTTCTTTTTTACATAACAATAAAATGTGTGTCATGAGATCTGAAACCATTTGGTTTTCTTACTGTGCAAGCTCTGGCCTTTTGAGGGACCCAACCCATTTACCAAATTTGAAGTTTATACCGGTACAGCGGAACGCCGCTATAACGAACATCGTTGGATCCACAGAAAGTGTTCGTAATAACGTTCGTTCGGTACAGCAATTTTGAACTGCTGTTACCGACCAATAGTGAGTGGAATTGTCCACAAGGCCCGCGGCCGCACGAGGAGTCGTCACAATACTTTAGCAAACATCGGTTTTTCCCTTCTATTCCTTTGGGAAATAATAGCCATCTATCGCTGTTCAACATTCAAACACAATGTAACTATGGGTCGTTTGATGTTCGGGAATTAAAAGTGGCCCAAATAGTATACAAATATTGAATGCTTTGAGTGGTGTAGTAAAACTAGCCTCCCGAGGTGGTCCATGGACATTCTATTTTCCTGAGGCGAAGCCGAGGGAAAATAGAATGGTCCATGGATCACCGAGGGAGGCTAGTTTTACTTCACCACGAGATAAAGCATTCAATATTTGTTTTATAACACTTCACCCACAGATTCTGCTTGATTTTAATATTTTACATTATTTAAATCTGAACACAGTTGAAATAAACTTAAATTTCAATACAAAATTGGTGGAAAATGTATTTCTCTCTTAAAAACTAACCCTTCACGAAATGTTTGAACCCAAGTCTGCGGCGCGCTCTCTTGGGAATAATACACGCTACGCACAACGCACAAAGCGCACACCAGCATGCATTTGCACACAAATACCGCGCCGTGGAAATAGTACTTTGGTTGCTAATGGTATAGTACTTTGGTTGCTATGCGCATAGTACTTTTGGCCGTGCACAGAAAGATAGCAAAATTAGAAAGTAACATGTGACTCGCTCTCGGCCAATCAAGACACAGAATCTGTGGGTGAGGTGTTATAATGTTTAATACATGTACAATCAGTAGATTTGTTTGTTAATCTGTTGACTTTTTTCAGCCACAATGTTGGGTACGTTTTGTACATTAAAACCGGGAGCCAAGGATGATGTTTGGTATAGCCTAATGTTCGGTATAGCGGTGTTCGGTATAGCGGCGTTCCACTGTATATGCCAACTAATTCTTGAAAGATATCTGCGGAAACCATATCTATTGTTAAAACCATAATGGCCTTAACCTTTGATCTATGGGTCATTCGGTTTCACCGGCAGGCGGGGCATCATAAAATAAATAACTTAATCTAATCTTCAGAATAGCTCTAGATTGGCATGACTCTGGAACAGTCTGTCACAAGTGTAGGAATCACTTCATGACACATCAGCAAAGTTGAAATAACAAACCTTGAAGTTGATTGGCTGCAACTGCTCCAGAAACCATTTGGCCTTGTCACCGATGAGTTGAGGGTCATACACTCCAGTGTGAATTCGTAAAAATGTCACGTTTGTTGGGTTCAAGCAGTATTCACCAAAGAACTCTACAGCCTGTGTGAATAAAGTAAGCATCAGCCCTTTATCAAACAGTTTAGCAATCACAATGGGAGAAACACAGTGACTAATATAGAAAGTTTTAACCAGAGTTCTGCAAATGTTTCCTTCTGTTCCTGTAATGAAGTTACTTATACTGCAGCATTTTATTACACATTTATGTCTAACACATTCAAACAAAAGAATATGTATGGATAGTATTTGGTACTTTGATTCATTTATATTATATACCTGGGTTGAAGCAAGTCGTTCACAAAACGTGGTCAGAACACTTCGTGACTGAAGAAAGCTGTGGACTTGAAAGGCAACCACAGGTCTTGGATGTAACCTGAGTGTGCGAGTATGCTCGTTGTGGTGTGCCATCACATTGGGAGAGTTGAAAAACTTGACCATCGCAACACGTGTTGCCACATCAACAGAGTCCACATCATTGCCATAAATGAATGGATTGAAACCCGTTTCATCTGAGAAAGTCTCTCTACGTCTGCTTATGGCTTCAACTTCTCCTCTGGATTGCTCAAAGTCTTTGATTGGTGGAGGACTAAGGCTCATGCTGGTCAAAGCCTGCAAGTTCAAAAGGATAGAATACAATTTATTAATACAGGGTGAGTCAAATAAAGCGGAACCCAAACCCCCAAGATTATATTTCATATACAAAAAAAAAAATCTAGCACCAAAAATAATAATGACTGGAAATCCAATTTCATAAGCTACTATTAGATTAGAAAATTACTAAATTGCTCAATCCGTTCAAAGAATATCTCCATTTAAACGAAATGACCCTAAAACCTGTTTAGTCCAAGAAAAACAAAGAAAATGACAAAAAATAGTTGTTTCAATAACTGTCAACAACTGTAGTACACAATATCTTCATTAACAATCCTGGTTAGGCAAACAATACGATTTATAAAATCCTTTTTTTGTTTTAAAGACGGGCCTTCAAAAGGACTTTGTTGAATATATTTAACTTTTAAACTGAGGTTTTATCGCTGGTGATGTTTGAAGACAATTGTGACAACAATTCTTGAAATCACACTTTTTTGGACAAAAGAGGTTTTAGGGTCATTGTGTTTAAATGGTGATATTCTTTGAACGGATTAAGCAATTTCAGTAATTTTGTTCATCTAAAAGTAGCTTATGAAATTGGCTTTCCAGTCATTATTATTTTTGGTGCTACACATTTTTTTAAATATGAAATATCATTTTTTTGACTCACCCTGTGTACACCATAAGGCATCAAAGGCTTTCTTGAAGATTTAAATTAGGATAAGACAGCATATACCGTACATGGTTATAAGCAAATTGCTGCACAAATTGTTTGATTTCTTATGTTCTTAAAGTTATGCATTAATGCCAAGTTACTCTTGTAAAGGGCTCTAAAAGATACTGCCGAACACTTGTCTGAGACGAGGCTTCACCTATTGCCCACTTTCCTTAACACAAAAAGGAGAGTGCATTTCATCATTCAGTTGCTCCTCTGATTAGCAGTCAGTTTTGAAAATATTAAGCCATCGTACATTTAACAATTATTGACTGTTGTGATGTGGGATATGCCATTTTTAACACCTGGTGGGGCGCATATGCACCCGGAGGGAGTTAAAGGGACAACTAGGTCCTGAAATAGCCCTATTGGGCTACAAAACGCGCTTTGAACGAGATGATGTTAATCAGAAATAACATTTAAAAGTAGGATATAAACATCCACACAACTATCCTTTAAAAACTTGGTGTTTTTGTGTTATTCCTGTATTATGCGTGCGAGAACGAATTTCGGGGTCCACTTTTGCGACCCCATAAATTTGAGCTGTTTGGATGCTACCCAAAGTGTTCGCCTTTTGCGGACGTTGAAATTTTTTTTTTTGTCCATTGGTGATTGGTCACCGCTGTTCCCGAGACACACGTGTATATTGTACCCTGAGAACGACACAAAAAACACATTTGTACTCCGTCATGTCCAATGTAAACAGGTTTTTTTCGTTCAGCGCATTTACATTCAGCGCATTGTATACGAGGTTCATTTATATGGAACACAGTATATAAAATAAAGGGTTATGTTTTACAGACTGGACAGGTGGCAGAATGTCGTCCAATGAGAATGAACACAATTCTATCAGGCTGCTTCATCCTAAAAACAACCCAATGATATATGTACAGGCTGCTGAGGCAAAGCCTAGTGCAATACACAGGGTTGCCCCATGTGCCTCACTTATTTCAAACCTTGTTAGGGACATACACACTTTCCTCCAATTGTTCAAAATTAGCAAACGTAATGCAACATAACATACCTGTTTGAAATGTTTTTTGAGCACTGATCCTTCTGGTTCAGGCAGCACTGGAACTTCTTCATATCTTCCACAGAATGTAATCTGTAAAATTCAACAAAGATACAACCAAAAATTAACTTAATTCATCAGAGCTGCAGTCCAAGCGATAAATCATAAGTACATGTACATGTACCTGGAACATAAGAAAGCACACATGACATCCATACATCTCAGGGCTTTTAAACAATGGCAGCATTTTCAGCGCAAAATCAAATGACATTAATACAGTCAGTTCAGCCCTCAAAGTTTCATGAATTCAAAGCATTATTTCCTCAATGGTAATGACCATTTTGTGACTTTTTAGTGGTGTACAGTTATGCTCTCAAGTAGGGAACTTTTATTGCAATTACTGTTTGATTGTTGCTACATTGGGTACACATTCTGGGGTGTAAAGATTTTCCAGCAAGTAGCAAACTGCACTGGAATTTGAAAATCAAGACAAAATCTTTATGTTTGGGGGGTTACAGATGGCATGGACTCCTGGAATGGAATGGACACAGAAACACCAAACTAATGATAAACATGAGTTTAAAAAACTATTAGCATCGGCAACAATTAGCAACTGGAATAGGCCAGGTCAAGCAACCAGTTTGCAAATTGGTTTGCATGAAGCAGAATATTCATAATACAGTTTACTTTGGGCCAGTAATCTTGTCCAATCAAATTATTGAAAGGATTAAGCCATACATGTAGGCTATGTACAAAAAGCTTGTAAATTTCCACAATTCTGTACATGGACCTGGAGGAAACACAAGATGTATATCATGCTGTGAAAGGGTAACAAGAGGGTTAATGCACTGAGCACTAATTGATTTCAAGTCTAGAGCAATACAGGAAATTTATTTACCAGCACATTCAACAAATTGGGGGTCATTAATTTACTGTAAATGACTAAGTAATTAGTGTGTAGGCCTACTTCAGGAAGGGTTACTTATCCTTTAATAGGGTATTCACAGTGGATTGTCTTTAGCACTCCCGGTAGTGGTTCATGATACCACGGGCCAATATGTAAATGCCATTCAAGATAAGAAATACAGATTAAAATATAAAATGCTTAGGACCATATTAACAAATTATTTCTTATGACTAAATTATTTGTACATGAATAAATTTGGACGTTTATTGCATCATTCTTGGCAAACGGCATCATTCTTTATAACATTGAACAACCCCTCAAAAATTGATTTACTTTAACATACCAATATGTACTCCAAAAAAATGGGGGGAAAATACTACAACATTGCCGTACAAATGGCCAGATTACTCAGACATTTCCTCCACATATGTTTTTACCAGAACATTATATGAAGGGACATATACATGTAACTGTTTTTCCTTAACAGCAGCCCAGCATCAAAAGAAATACTTACTTTATTTGTGTCAAGATCTATAAGCCACACATCTTCGGGGAGTTTGAAGTAGGGTTTGTACAAGAAGAAACTAGCTGGCACACCAATGATGAACGGTGTTGGAGCCAAAAGCAACTGAAATTTAGTGACATGTACAAAACTTGTATAAATTCATGTATGTATTCCTAAAATAAACAACACAAAGAGGTGAAAAGATCTCTGAATTTCTGGAAAATAAATCACATTTTCTTTTTTGTCTAAAAGATTCTCAAGTAGATTTGGACATCAACCAAACAAGGAGACTGTTTGACAGCAACATAATAAAAAAATATGACACACTGACATCATTTATAAGAAAATCATAATTATATTATCTACATGTACATGTACAAATAAATTCTTGATTTGATTCTTTCCGTCGGTGTATTTTTGCTGGACTCAGAGAGACCCAGTCTAGTATCCCTACCTACATACTTCACTGATGGACTGACTTACTGACACTTGTGACTTTAGACCCCTTTACTAGGCTTGCCTCTTCTTGTTCTGTCATTTTTCCAGATGTAAAAAGCTTGAACTCATAATGTTGCACAGCTTAATGACTAGCCCCTATTGCATTTAATTTAACTGTTACATCCGCCAAGGAGGATATGTTTTTATCGGCGTTGGTTGGTTGGTTTGTCTGTAAACAAGATAACTCCAAACTTATGGACGGATTTTCATTAAAAAAAATAACAGCGTTGCTGTTGAAACCCCTCAGCCAGAGTCAAGTTATCATCCGGAAACCATTAACCTTTAACTCAACGTGGTGACCTTGACCTTTGGCCTTTGACCCCAGAACCAGTCCCAACATGCCTGTACCAATGGGAAACCCCCTACCGAAGTTAGACACCAACATTTCATTTCTAACTCAAGGTATCATTCGGAACCATTTACATTGAACTCACCACGGTGACCTTGACCTTTGACCTTTTGACCCCAAAACCAATCCCAACTTGCCTGTACCCAAGGGCAAACCCCTACCTCAGTCAGACACCAAAATCTCATTTCTAACTCAAGTTATCATCCGGAAACCATTTACCTTTAACTCACCATGCTGACCTTGACCTTTGACCTTTTGACCCCAAAACCAATCCCAACTTGCCTTCTCCCAAAGGGAACCCTCTTCCAAAGTTAGACACCAAAATCGCATTTCTAACTCAAGTTATCATCCGGAAACCATTTACCTTTAACTCACAATGGTGACCTTGACCTTTGACCTTTTGACCCCAAAACCAATCCCAACTTGCCTACTCCCAAGGGCAAACCTCTACCAAAGTTAGACACAAAAATCTCATTTCTAACTCAAGTTATCATCCGGAAACCATTTACATTTAACTCACCACGGTGACCTTGACCTTTGACCTTTTGACCCCAAAACCAATCCCAACTTGCCTACTCCCAAGGGCAACCCCCTATCAAAGTTAGACACCAAAATCTCATTTCTAACTCAAGTTATCATCCGGAAACCATTTACCTTTATCTCACCATGCTGACCTTGACCTTTGACCTTTTGACCCCAAAACCAATCCCAACTTGCCTTCTCCCAAGGGGAACCCTCTTCCAAAGTTAGACACCAAAATCGCATTTCTAACTCAAGTTATCATCCGGAAACCATTTACCTTTAACTCACAATGGTGACCTTGACCTTTGACCTTTTGACCCCAAAACCAATCCCAACTTGCCTACTCCCAAGGGCAACCCTCTACCAAAGTTAGACACCAAAATCTCATTTCTAACTCAAGTTATCATCCTGAAACCATTTACATTTAACTCACCACGGTGACCTTGACCTTTGACCTTTTGACCCCAAAACCAATCCCAACTTGCCTACTCCCAAGGGCAACCCCCTATCAAAGTTAGACACCAAAATCTCATTTCTAACTCAAGTTATCATCCGGAAACCATTTACCTTTATCTCACCATGCTGACCTTGACCTTTGACCTTTTGACCCCAAAACCAATCCCAACTTGCCTACTCCCAAGGGCAACCCCCTACCGAAGTTACAACCCCAAACAACATTTCTAACTCAAGTTATCATCCGGAAACTAAGCTGCCCGGACGGACGGACGGACAGACAGACATACATCCGGACGGACGGACGCCCTAGGCGATGACAATACCCCTCGAGCCTCTCGGCTGAGGGGTAAAAATGCAAGGGTGGTCCTTGGTACAAGTACATACAAGAGTACTGTAAAGCAATTAGATTTTGGAAGTGATCTGGATCTGGGCCTGGATGCAGGCATTTTGCAAAGGATTCTTCACCATGTTGTATGTGCGAATGTGCTATGTGTACATGGTGTAGAGACGTGTGTGGATAACGCAGCGTGCAGTCTACATTACATGTATGAGCACACACCATTGAAACCAACAGGTCAATGGACTCAACCATTGGAAACTAGGGGGGAGTGGAAATGTGCAATAAAATATGGAAGTCCAGTGGATATGCGAGTATTTCTATTGGGTGTACTGACAATATGGCGGGGATTTGTTCAGCCTTGGCAGAGGCTTGCGTCTTTGAGTGCTTTCTAGTTTATTTATTTCTTACATTTCTTTACCAAGGGTGCATGTATGCCTGAGCAGTTTAAAACCTGTTTCCATTGGGGACCTTGCACTTGTTACAAATTATTACATAAAGTTAAGCAAAGTAAAATCCAAAAGCCCTGTGTTCGATTACTTCCCCTGCGCTTACTTGTGCAAGAGCAACTGCCTTCAATTTAACTCTCACATGAGTTCTCTCGCTTCCTCGAGCCTGGCCCAAGTAACTGACCCTCTGAGCCAGTTGCTTGGGTAAGTACCCAACAATACAATTTTTTCAGAGACAAAAAATCCCTGCTTTAATCCACTAGTACATTGCATAGGGATATCACATTTTGCAAAAAGTATGCCAACTTTGAGATGAGTTAGAAACCAAACAAAACATTTTGTACGCCCAATTTTGGATTTTTGTACAAAACTTGATGGGGTATAATTTTCATTCAAGTTCGTCTCAAGGTCACCTGATCCACAAGGTCAAATTCAAGGTCAAAGGGTCTTCCTGCTTCAAATTACTCCGACATGAAAAATAATGGTAAATTGGGATTTCTTATGATGTAACCTTTCCAAAGAAACCATGATTAACAAATTTGGCCCACAGGTTATGGAGATATGGTCATTTGAAAAGTGGCGGCCATGCCCATTTTGCCAAAAAATTGACAAACAATGGCGGCGGTAGCGCCAAAACCATTTGTCCCATGGTGCTAAAACTTAAAATTTCAGCTTTTTCAGTATATATTACCCCATACACTAAATATGAACCAATTGAAGGGGGTGGGGTTTAAACTTTCAATTTTTTGGGTGATTTGACACGAAATGACCCAATGGCCCTTTAAAGTACAAACAAAAGCAGTACAATAGGGGGGTCCAGGATTGAAGGTGTTTACACCCTTGTGAACAGGGTTCCTTATGGGGTAGGAAACACAATGGAACAATAGGCTCTACCGGTATCTTCCCCACGGCGAAAATCTTCAGAAATCAATCTACCCCATAATGATAAGGAAAACGCTACAAAACCAATGAGAGCTCTTGCAAAAAAAGAGTGTAAACAAAGGAAAAGGGAAGAGGAACAATAGAAAATCCTTGATTTACACCATAAACAAACGTGTGTGTATGTCTGTACAAGCATTACATTCACTGTGTGGACTTCCGAACAAAAGAGGTCCACATAAACCAGGTAGAGGCGACGTTGTGTGGACTTGGGCAAGTCCACACAGTGTTTCCCCTCTCTGGAAAACAGGTTTAGAGGCATTTGGGTTAGGTTTATCTGTGGCAAAATGAAGAGAAACACTCAAGGGAATCATAGAAAAAAATTTGGGTTGAAAGAGTTTTCACAGAGTGAGTAACATGATTTTTTTCACGGATTTTCGCACTACCACCTGCCACTGTTTGACAATTTTGGTAAAAAAAACCCCCAAAATTCATCTGATACTGACGCGCGTTCGGCTTGTTTCATGCCAATGCGCTGCCGATCTTGCGCCAAAATCGCCAGCGTATAAATTAAAGGAAGAACATAGACTGGCACTGCGTTTTGAAGTATTTAAGTAAAAGCATACAAAAGTGCAGGACACAGACTCCAGCATACCGTTTGGCCTTTTTATGAATGAGTGTGTCACCATTGCGCCCTCTATTTTACTCTGGCAATAAGCATGTATGGCACTCATTGAAAACCATGGCCTACGTAGTGTAATTTGGTCGAACTTTACATTGCAGAAATATCACAAAAACATCAGTGGAGAAAGAAGATTTCTGCAACTTAATTCACACAGCCTAACTTGCATTTTCCGCTTGTCTGTATTTATCGAGGTCATAACGTTGGTACCGGTACTTACACTGCTAACGCATGGCTGCGCCGGTTTTAATGGCAGTCAATGCGCGCTGATACCGCTCGGTACCATCCCCAAAGACAATGTTGGGTAGTTTTGTTTCATGACTTTTAAATTTCCTTCCCAAATGTTTATCTTTTTGATTGTCCAGTTTTGATAGCTTTTGTGTCGCAAATTAAAAAGGGGCCGAAAATTTGGGCCGAAAACGTGATGTGAATACATGTATTCTAAACACCATTAATTAAATAATAATATTAATAATAATTTTTTTTTTTTTAAGTTGATTTGATTTAGTAATAAATAGTTTATTTACTTTATCAATAGCGTTTATTAGTTTGTGTCAGTTCAAATTCATTTTTATTAGATACGTTTGTTGAAAACACCGACAACATTGCCTCAGGATAAAGTTATACATGTATCCACATTGTTGTTTATGACATTCTGGTGCAAAAAAACTAAACATTCTATTGCGGACCAGTGAAAAGGCCAGCAGGCTAGCGAGTCTAGTTGACTAAGTTCAATAGTCCGGCTGGCTAATGAAAAAAAAAAATTAAGGGTGAACATTGATGTAACTACTGGAAAATTGTACACGCAATTTAACGCTGAAGTACATTGTAATTAAACAAAGTGGCCTGTTAGAGTTGAATGCTTAGTAGTGTACTGTACTGTGAATCCTCTGAACTGCAAGAATGTTTAAAGGCTAACAGATAATACATCTCAAGTCAGCACAATATGGGTGTGATAAAACATGATGCCTACCTGTTCTGCTGATCCCATACATGTCGGTAGCAATGGAATAACAGGAAACATGTACTCCAATGGGTAAATCATGGCAACAAATGCCATCACACTCATAGACAGTGCATTATAATCACGTGATTGCAACACAACCTGCATAGTCATATGAAAGAAAGGGAAGGGAAGAACATTCATTTTTCACGAAATACGATGCATGCAATTACAATGTAAATCAAGTACTTACTTGTAAGTTATGTACTTACAATATATGACTCCATGTGTGTTGTTATCAACAAAAAATAGTGCCAGTCAAGACTATTTGTGAATCCATTGTGATGTACACTGGCCTTTTTTGGACACAATATAAGAGGGCACTTTTTGGTTTGGGTAAATGCTTTTGATTTACCCAAATAATTGAACCTCACGCCCTCCTATAGTGTCAGCCATCTCAGAAAGGTTAATTCAATATTGAGTCTTCAGGAGTTATACAAATATAACATAGGTTGAGGATGTGTGCACGTACCGTGTAGCTCACCGAGGTATTCAAAGTTGACAAACTAATTGGCTTTGCCTCAGGAACTAATTTGTCAACTTCTTAATGATATCAACTTCTTAAGCTAATATCGACTATGCACCTGAAGTAAACCATGTCATATTTGTTTTACTGTACCTCATATTTGTTTTACTGTACCTCATACATAATCGTCAAAATTTAATTGAGTTAGCATTAGTTTTCTTGGCAAAACATTGCTGTGCATTGTTTTCATACGTGTACAGTACATGTACACAATGTTGGCAAGGCACTGTTCGTGCAAGTGCACTTCCTCTGTGCGATAGTTCCTCAATTGATTATGAATTAATTCCAAAAACGCCATAAGGTTCATTGTAATTTTCAAACAACATTGTACAATGTACATGTACAAGAGCTTTCATTCAAGGTTCATCCTATGACACTCTTTTGCAACCTTTTTAGATAATAGGTACCATGGTGTTTAAGTTATGGCAGGAGTTTAGAACTACATGTTACTTGGCGGTTGGTCGGTCGGTCAGTCTGTCTGTCCCCGAAAAATGGCTAAAAATAATTGACTAATAGTGAAATATACATATTTATATTATACGGGGTGGGGGAATACACGCAGAACCTGTATCAAATGCAGGATAAGTATAATAAAATATACACAAGAAGCTATATCACAATATTGTATTTTAATGCAGAAGGGAGCAATTTCAAAAGTTTGCCTTCTTCAGTGTTGTATACAACTGTACATGTATGCATGTAGTTCCGTAACTATAATCCGAAACACAATTTAGTAACTTATACGGTTGAACTAAAAAACCTTCAAAATCAATTTATGGGTAAGGTATCTTCTGTAAAAAAAATTTTAAACAACTGAAACGGCTCTCTCCAGACCACATTGCTCAAGTTTTTATTACCGGCGACGGAGACAATGTGGGAAAATAGTATCAGACAACGGAACTTCTTCAAACCAAAAAAAGATAAACTCCCAATTCCCACGCCTTTTTCTGGAGTGCAATGCTCAAATTTTTATTTTAATCAATTACAGCGCCGGGAGTTACCAGCGAGAAAATGTGGGGAAAAACAAACAACAGCACTGCTTCAAGCCAAAAAAACCCCAAACAAACAATCTTAAGTCCCAATTATCCACGGCTTTATCTGGGGCATATTACTCTTACTTTTTAAACAAATCTCAGCACTGACAATTTGTCCAGAATGGGCAGTTTCTTTTGAGGTTTTACATTGGGAGAGACCGCAAATTCCAGCGAACGCAGAGAACAAAGTAAGGCGGATTGTCACAAGCACAAGTTGCTGCCAAGTTTTATTTTTTACAGCAACGTTAAACATAAAGTAAAAGCACAAACGGGAGATATATTCTGACAATAATCTGACTCATTTTCGATATCATTCCTCAATATCGAAAATTTCGATATGATTAAAAAATAACAGCGTTGCTGTTGAAACCCCTCAGCCAGAGTCAAGTTATCATCCGGAAACCATTAACCTTTAACTCGACACTGTGACCTTGACCTTTGACCTTTGGACCTCAAAACCAATCCCAACTTGCCTACTCCCAAGGGATTTCCCTACCAAAGTTAGACACCAAAATCACATTTCTAACTCAAGTTATCATCCAGAAACCATTTACCTTTAACTCGCCACAGTGACCTTGACCTTTGACCTTTTGACCTCAAAACCAATCCCAATTTGCCTACTCCTAAGGGCAACCCCCTACCAAAGTTACAATCCCAAACAACATTTCTAACTCAAGTTATCCCGAAACTAAGCTGTCCGGACATACGGATGGACGCCGTAGGCGATGACAATACCCCTCGAGCCTCTCGGCTGAGGGGTAAAAATTGCTATCAGCGATACTGATATATACATGTATCAAACTACTACAGAATAATTGGGGTAATATCGATATATCTATGCTTAAAGCTATAGTCCATCATTTACAGCTATCCGAAAAGTAACTCGTGTTATTATTGTTGAAAAACATACTTGGTTGAAAGATAGTAAGGGGACTAAACTCCCTGTGAAATTATTCTTTCTGGCAAGCTGTCATTTTGAAGTAATCAACGAAAGAAGGCCTTTCCAACGGCGCTTCTTAAGACGCACCGTAAGAAATTTAAATTAGTAGTTCGTTTTGTTATTCGGCGAAGCGCGTGCAAGTATTGGCATGACGCACACACACGCGCGATTGCTATAATTCGTCCTATCAGTGCGCGACATCATGTAGCTGCAATGGGCTCAGTGAGAATGTGTCTCAGACGCTGGATGCAGGCCCAATTCAAACCATGATTCAGCAACTTTTGATTTGAAATTGAGATCCTAGAATGCTGTTTTTCTCGGAATATACAGCTGAAGCTCAGCTGAAACTTCATCAGGTTAGTTGTTCAGTACCCTTCTTCAGATTTTGAGCACTTTTGTGGCTTCAAACGAACAAAATGCACAAATTAAAAATGATGGACTACATCTTTAACAATGTCTGATGGCAAATAAAAGTATGTTTATCAAACCACAGACCAAATTTTTGCACAAAAAGTTATCCTTGATTCAAATTTTTTTTGAGCCACCGTATGTTCAGTAGGACACAGTGGAGACTTCGTAGAATGTTTACCATTCGTGCGTGAATTATGAGCACTTAACCTATTTCTGTGACGTCACCCTATATTGTTAAAAGTGTAGATTATTTTCACGAATCTACACTTTACTGTAGATTATTTTAAGAATCCACAGTTTTTGTTGTGAACAATTCCATGTATATTCCAGCACTGTAAATTCCATGTATAATTCCAGCACTAAAGAATTCCTTTTTTAAGTTTCAGTCCATTATAATGAAAAGAAAAAGAAATGTTAATGGTACTCAAAAATGTACAATTTTTTTTCCGAAAGAATTTGACGTGTACCTGATTTTAATAAATACTTTACTTTTTTAATTTTTTTAATTTTTACACAAAATGTTCTCGTGTGATTTTTAATTTGCCGTGCTTATATTTTTAATATAATATACATGTACAGTGGCGATTATAAATTTTAACCTAAAGCGCAGTGTAAAATATTCCTCTTTCTGTTATTTGCAGTTCCCTTTATTTTTATTTTAAGTGTTACTTTTTATTTTTATATTATTATCTATATATGTTAATGCTTTAAATTTGCATTATAAAAAAAATCAGTGGATACCCCTCTGTTAAAGAATATGTACACATCTTTCATTATCAAAATGACAATCATAAATAAAATGGACGAATAACTAACGAAATAAAATGAAACTTACCCAGTCATATACGTCTCAGAATATATTCAAATGTAGGCCTAATGTATTTTCCAAGCAAAATTATTTCCTGTGGTGAGTGAGATGCGCATATTCCGATGTGTAGCCTACTCATCAAGGTAAAGAAATGTGGTTCTCGACTGAATGGCCAATGACATGTGGTTCCACAAATCAAAAAGCTCTATGCACAAATGAGTTGCTTTCCAACTTTTTCTTGTGGTGGGTGTTTTAAACTCCTCAGATCAATCCCGAAAAAAAAACAGCATCAAAGTATTTTCCGGTATAATCCCCCAGCTGTAACATACAAACGCGGCATCCATTTGGCTTTGGGAGTAAGGAAAGACAGTGCATTCGCACTAAACACTTCTGATCGTGAATGTGTGAGACTTACCATGAGGTCAAATGTTCTGTGCAATTGATGAATGGAACAAAAGATGTGCACCCATCCGAAGGGTTAACAATAGAATCTTGTTACGATGCATGCACAGGGCCAGGCAAAGTTGACTAGATTGTACGAATTTACACTTATTCACAAATGTGGTAAACCAGGGATCTTATTTGCATAAATTACTGTTGTTTTAAGAAATAGGTTAAGTCAGAGAATAGACTCGGAACTGTAGATGCGTGCATGAATAGACTCGGCTTCGCCTCGTCCATTCTTAGCACGAATCTACAGTTCCTCGTCCATTCTCTATAACGTAACTTTTGTGGCAACCAATTTGACTCGTCTGCAGACGACAACACTCTTGGTGCTTTCGTGATATTCGAAATTGTGCAAATTTTTTTTCCACGTACTTTATTAGTAGTGTTTACAATGTAAGTTGAAAACTGTGTACGGTTTAATTTATTCAGTAAAAAGTTTGTCAAAGTACTAAGTGCGCGAATAATGGTCACACGAGGATACTTTAAAGAAATGATCTCAATGGCACGGTCCCCCCCCCCCCCCGGCCTAAGGCTTTGATTTGGGGGCATGTTTATTATTTGTAGAAGGTAATACACTTGTCACACTGCCTAACTTCTTTTCTCTAAAGCCCAGAATTCAGCTAAATTTTCGCTGCAAGATTTTAATGTCATAAATTTGTCAACATTGAGGTTTTTTGAGAATACATTCATTTTTTTTGGACAGTTTATGTTATTTATAAGTTATGCCGATGACCTAAATTCATCACAAATGGAACACACGAATCTTGGATTTCGGATATTTTCCCTAATATTTAAAATTGGATTCTGGCCTATGGGCGTAGACACCTGAAATTTAAACTTTAAATGGATCTCTTTGTGTATATATCATTTCCCGCCCTTGTTTGAAGTAGACCTGTTTATGCAAAGATTTTCCCTTTTAAAAACAAATGGTTTATTGTAGCCCAGGTGGACTCCCTTTCCTCCCTACGTAACGGAGGGAGTCCAGGGTATGAAGTGCTCAAAACTGGGCGAAAAAAATTATGACCGATATTTTCAATATTTTTACCTTGTTGGAGAAGCCAATTTTTACGTCGTAGTATTCTATGTGTCCTTATCTATTGGGCCGCTGGGTTCATGCAATGCTGACCGACCTTAATCTGGAAAATAAACTCGAAAGCAACGTTAAACTTGTACAATGTACGTGTTTGTAGACTCTTTTCATCAGTTTCTCACCGCCGAGTCTATTCTAGTCGTACATGATGTACGTCTGTGCAGCGTGTAGTCTGGTTCCCTAGACCGGACAATTATTCTCGACGCTCATATCACGTCTGGTCCGGGGGCCAGACTATGCAGCATGAATATGCAGTGCGCACGCGCGATTTGCTTAGTAACCACCCTCATACGCACGCGCACTTACTTGAAGGCACGGTCGCTAATCCAATGACCGAGCGTGTTTTCGCGCCAGTTACCAGAAACACGTTTTGGCTTTGGTCATTGGTTGAGCGTTTTCGTGACATCGGTTGGCTGGAGTGACGTCACGGTTCCAACCAAAACTAAACAAATGAGGGCGCTAGCGTGCATGCGCGCTTTCGTACGCACGTACATGTACATTGTACATGACGTACGACTCTGGGAATAAACTGATGAAAAGAGACTACAAACACGTACAAGTTTAACGCTGCTTTAGAGTTTATTTTCCTGATTAATGTCGGTCAGCATCACATATGGAATTCCTGAACCCAGCGGCCCAATAGGTAAGGACACATAGAAAATGTAGTCGTGAAATAAGCTTCTGTAACGAGGTAAAACGTAACAAAAATCTGGTCCAAATTTTGGGTGGTCTTATGTAGAGAATTCTCATCCTGGACGTTAGTCGTAATGCAATGAAGACTTTGTCCAACCTGGGCTAGGTTTATTGAGCACAGAGTGATTTATTTTAACCAATAAATAATTCAGGCAGTAATCAAATCTCAAATTTCCTGATTTTTTCAAGACAACATCCTTTAGTTTTGCGAGGCAGTGTAAATTATCATCAATTATAATACTTGCTGGACATAGAAAAGTCATCTGCTGTGATTAGTCGTGTCTCGCGAAATCTCATACATGTACGTGATATGAACGGATTTTCTGACGGGTAACGGACGCGAAAGAAAACATGACCACTCCATACAGCTGTTTACGGATGATGAAAAATTAGTAGCAAACAAGTCAGGTGTGTTTACAAACACAAATGCCCCGCAACCGTGACTGTTCCCATGACATAACACCACTCTTTTAACATCAACTTACATGTACCTTGGTCACATGGAACGTTCATTAATTGACAGCATTAGTGTCTTCTGTAGGTTTTATATGAATTAATCCCTAATCCCTATGATCTCAGAATAAATACAAGATTTCTATTGTTTTAGCCACTGTGACCTTGACCCTTGACCTTTTGGCCCCAAATGCAAAAGGCTTCTTAGGATTACCAAGGACAATCCACAAACCAAATTTGAAGTTAATATGTAAAGTATTTCTCAAGTTATCGCGCTGACAAAAATTCTATTGTTTCAGCCACTGTGACCTTGACCCTTGACCTTTCGGCCCCAAATGCAATAGGCTTCTTAGGATTACCAAGAACAATACACAAACCAAATTTGAAGTTCATATGTAAAGTATTTCTCAAGTTATCGCGCTGACAAAATTTCTTTTGTTTTAGCCACTGTGACCTTGACCCTTGACCTTTCGGCCCCAAATGCAATAGGCTTCTTAGGATTGCCAAGGACAATCCACAAACCAAATTTGAAGTTCATATGTAAAGTTTATCTCAAGTTATCACGCTGACAAAAATTCTTTTGTTTTAGCCACTGTGACCTTGACCCTTGACCTTTCGGCCCCAAATACAAAAGGCTTCTTAGGATTGCCAAGGACAATCCACAAACCAAATTTGAAGTTCATATGTAAAGTATTTCTCAAGTTATCGCGCTGACAAAATTTCTATTGTTTCAGCCACTGTGACCTTGACCCTTGACCTTTCGGCCCCAAATGCAATAGGCCTCTTAGGATTACCAAGAACAATACACAGACCAAATTTGAAGTTCATATGTTAAGTATTTCTCAAGTTATCGTGCTGACAAGATTTGTCCGGACACACACACACACACCCAGCCACCCACACCCACACCCACGGAAGGACAAGGCGGAAACAGTATGCCCCTTCGGCTTCGCCGCGGGGCATAAAAAGTGAATTAAAGCATTTTTTTACTACTTTGATGAAATTAGATCTTTAGTATGTTAAATAGTGATACATGTATTTCCTTAGCGTGAAAGCATTAAAACAGATTATATCGCAATTTGTTTTAGGTCAGGCCCTGTTTTGTTCTAAATTGAGCGGACTAATACTGTACCTTGTTCTCTAGCATGATAAGAGTGAGGACCCTGAGACAAGTATCCACTCCAAGCAATTCCAGAGGTAAGTGAAGTGGAAAATCTGCCAGTGAGAAGCGTGTGTGATCTGGCAAAGCAAATACCATGGGTGGTTGTGTATCCAGGACTTGTATTTCTACACGTGTTTTCCCTGGAACAGGAACTGGAGCACTCAGAAAACGCAGTATCCATGTTTCGATCTGACGAACATCATGTCTGACAAGAGGAGGTATGTCACTGCATATGCCAGTCAAAACACCCCATACACAATCTCTGTAATAACAATTCAAAACATACAAGTTTCTAAATATACATAGTACGTTAAGGAAATGCATCCTACATGTAGTTCACACCTAGTGCTGCAGCCGAACTGCCAAACCGAACTAAAAATAGCCGAACTTGGCTAAAACCAAAAACTTCAACATTTTATCTGAATGCGGACGGCCGGACAGACGGATGTACATGTACGTACATGTACAGCCGTAGGTACGTACAGCCGTACGTATGGACGGACGGAAATTGGTATTACATAGGCTCACATCTGCTTCGCAACTCGCCAAAAATACATCATAGAATGATAAAAATTACTTAAACATCATATCAATAAAACATGAACAAGTCAGGTGTGTTTACAAACACAAATGCCCCGCAACCGTGACTGTTCCTATGACATAACACCACTCTTTTAACATCAACTTACATGTACCTTGGTCACATGAAACGTTCATTAATTGACAGCATTAGTGTCTTCTGTAGGTTTTATATGAATTAAACCCTAATCCCTATGATCTCAGAATAAATACAAGATTTCTATTGTTTTAGCCACTGTGACCTTGACCCTTGACCTTTTGGCCCCAAATGCAATAGGCTTCTTAAGACTGCCAAGGACAATCCACAAACCAAATTTGAAGTTCATATGTAAAGTATATCTCAAGTTATCGCGCTGACAAAATTTCTTTTGTTTTAGCCACTGTGACCTTGACCCTTGACCTTTTGGCCCCAAATGCAATAGGCTTCTTAGGATTACCAAGGACAATCCACAAACCAAATTTGAAGTTCATATGTAAAGTATTTCTCAAGTTATCGCGCTGACAAAATTTCTATTGTTTCAGCCACTGTGACCTTGACCCTTGACCTTTTGGCCCCAAATGCAAAAGGCTTCTTAGGATTGCCAAGGACAATCCACAAACTAAATTTGAAGTTCATATGTAAAGTATTTCTCAAGTTATCGCGCTGACAAAATTTCTTTTGTTTCAGCCACTGTGACCTTGACCCTTGACCTTTCGGCCTCAAATGCAATAGGCCTCTTAGGATTACCAAGAACAATACACAGACCAAATTTGAAGTTCATATGTTAAGTATTTCTCAAGTTATCTTGCTGACAAGATTTGTCCGGACACACACACCCACCCACCCACACACCCACCCACGGAAGGACAAGGCGGAAACAGTATGCCCCTTCGGCTTCGCCGCGGGGCATAATAAAACTAAATAAAACTGATGAAAACAATTTAAAAGAATACAAAAAAATTAAACAAAAAACATACAAATCAGTTACATGAAGTTCAGAATGTTACCCACTCCCGACACGGGGAGGTAGTGACAAAAAATAGCAATACAGGACTCTTTCGAGGCCCTGTAATTGGAATGAGTACACTTTAAATCCTTTAACGAGGATCTATTGGAGGGCAAGTCTGGTGCCAGCAGCCGCGGTAATTCCAGCTCCAATAGCGTATATTAAAATTGCTGCAGTTAAAAAGCTCGTAGTTGGATCTTGGGCGCAGGCTGGCGGTCCGCCGCAAGGCGCGCCACTGCCAGCCTGGCCTTCCTCTCGGTCTCCGCCCGGTTCTCTTGACTGAGTGCCGAGCGCGGCCGAAACGTTTACTTTGAAAAAATTGGAGTGTTCAAAGCAGGCCGACCGCCTGGACAGCAGAGCATGGAATAATGGAATAGGACCTCGGTTCTATTGCGTTGGTTTTCGGAACTCGAGGTAATGATTAAGAGGGACTGACGGGGGCATTCGTACTGCGGTGTGAGAGGTGAAATTCTTGGATCGCCGCAAGACGACCGACTGCGAAAGCATTTGCCAAGAATGTTTTCATTAATGATGTACTGGTATGCATTGTACGATCCTTCAATTTGTTTTAAAACATTTTGTTGATTGGTGACGGCCAAAGACTACAGGCCCACAGTACAATATTCTTTTTAAGTTCATCGTTCAAAACAGAGGTGGTCAATGGTGAGCTCTGATATGACAATTTTGTCATGTGATGACTATACGTGTACATATTGTAGAAGTCATCCACCACTGCCCTAGTCTTGGCCCAAGACGTCAGTGATCAAGAGCGATAGTTGCAATGTTCTGTAGCGCCCTTGCATAATTGATTTTTTACTTTCTCTCACAAACGTCTTGGGTCATTTTGTAGCAATGGGGCGTGGCCATTTTATGTAAATAGAATCATTTGAATAAATTCAAACAAAACGGCAGTTTTTTAACGCCATTTGCCGCAGTAGTCACGCCCTCGCGCGAGGGTATCACTGTGTTGCATAATTAGCAATGATGGTTGCTCATGTGCACCGCAAATTGATTAATTTCTCGTTCGCTGATTGGTTTCATGATGCTGGTTCACCGCATGTACTGTACGGTACTTATATAGCCTGTATGTTTACAACCATCTCAACGCACGTATAGCTCGAATGTTTGCAACCATCAGGCGCGGGCGCATTGGAAACATTTCTCGATCGCTGATTGGTTCCCTAGGAAAGCCTAGGGAGAAAATAAAGAAAAAGTTAAACCGCTGATACAAAATGGCCAAGACTTTAGTGTGAGTAGGCCCACTGGTCCAATTGTTGTGCCATTAGAGGGCACACTTTGCACCGTCCACTATCGATCACTAGGGTCTTGGGCCAAGACTACCACTGCCCCAGCCTCAAGAGTCAATGCCTTTTGCATGCATGATAGCCAATCTACCCAATCATTTAAAGTTTTCCAGATGATAGATCCACAATCAGCAGTTACATGTACAACGTGGGTCATTCCGTGTCAATTCAACACGATTTTGGACCCGACCCTCACAGATTGAAACGATATTTGGTGTGATGATTGGCCTATAAGAGAAAACCCCCAGAACTAATTTTTTTTTTTTTGTAAATTGTCTCATTAGTTTTTGAGATACGGGTCAAGGAACTTTTGACTAATTAGCATGACCTCTGGACTTTAAATACTTGTATCTAAAAAAACTATAGCACCTACAAAGCCAAGCTGTACATCATATTAAAGCTCTTTGAATGGCCTCCATTTCATAAATAAAACCAAAATCGTAGCATGAAGAGCGGAGAAAATGCGTAACAAAATGACCTTAGACCTTGAATTACGTAAATCAATATGCTTCAAAAAATTTTTTTCAAATGTTAGTTTATGATGTCAGCAACAATCTTTTAAACAAATTGGGATGGGCGCTCTTAAACTTTTTAAGTTATAATTATAGGTGTTGGGCTCACCTATTGTTATTGTATGAATTTACTATTATTATTGTTCTCCTCAGCAAATTCTTCTCCGGAACTGTCTGTCAAAATGGAAACATATATGAACTTCAATTGTCAATACATGAATGCACAACCCACTGAAGATGTGCTTTTTTGCAATTACCAGGGATTATCCTTAGCGGTCGCCCGCTCGCCAAATGCGAGTGAAAACAGCGGCGGGCGAGTCAAAACCCTCCTCTCAGTAGTCCGACGGGCGAGTCAAAAAACTGTTAAAAAAATAAAAATAAGAAGTTTTCCCTACAGTATTTTTCAATCAATCAAAATAAAAAGTTAAGGGTGATACAACACATGAATACTTTTGCTACGCCGACCGAAATAAAAACATCGGTAGTTCAAATTCGTATCACTCCATGTATATTCGCAGTGCGCTGTGCATTGAAATCCCAACGACGAACATGAGGCGAATCAACGTGTATTTGCCATTACACATTGTGCACACATGCAGCGCACGTGATTTACTTCGTCTGCAGTCCACATGGTACGGACGTACGTACGTTAACATCGTATTCGTATCATACAACTAGGTGAGGAGAAAACTTTCATGACAGTCTGCCAAAACTTGTGCCCGAACGGATTCTTGGGATGATTTCTTGAACACTATCAAACGAATGTACCGAAAAGATGAGGACAATATGAGATTCGAGGGGCCTATTTTGAATGTAAGGACTAGTGAATGTAAAGTGGACCGTGCTCCGGAAAACGTTATGGATTGACGTGACCAGCGTAAGTTCGTGGGTCGCCCACCCGCAGCGCTTCTTGGCTAGGCACGCTGATTGCACCATTCTTCGCTAGAAATGCATGGCGCGCGCGAGAGATGTTTTTTTGAAAATACTGGCCTTCTCACTCATTTTCAAACAAGTTAAAACAGTTCAGTTACTAACTTGGTAAACTCCCATTAATACCACGACTGTGTGCAATGTTTTCTTGTTCCTCAAGATAACGCTTTTTTAGTTCGTGTTTTATCAAAACATGTCGGAAATAGAACACCTAAACCCTTAAGTTCGGAACGAAGCACACTGCATAAATTTTGATTATAACTTCTCCCCCTATTTGATTCCTGTTAATTAAAGCCTTGCTCTATGTTAAAGCATGGACGATTAAAGAAACATTGACATCACTTAAAAAGGAACTACATGCAATATTATGTACATGATTAAGATAATTGCCGATTGTATTCATATTGCATAATTGATTATCAAAAATGTTATCAAAAATGCTTATGGTGATTTGATTGAAAGTTACTATTAAAACATGTGGGCTAGTGAAAAAGGTTGCGGGCCAGTGAAAACTCTGGTTTACTGGCCCGGCTGGCCAGTAAAGGAAAAAGTTAAGGAAAACCCCTGAATTACGTCATCATGACGTCATCATGGGTCACGTGACGTCACTTAAAAAAATAATAAACTTAATCTTTGAAATTCAATATAAAATCAACCATGAGAGACCAGAACTTGAATTGTTGATAATTGACATGATAATATATGATCTTCATTTAATCTTGCGTGCGTCAAATCACGTGACAATTGCTTCCAGTCGAAACCAGAAGTGCCAAATATTTTGAAAGTGGAAAAAGATATGAACTTGCTTTTAACGATGTTAGTGTCTGCCTGGATTGACCTTTCAAACAAATAATCGGTGACATCATGAAGTGTTGGAGCGCCCTCTAGCGGCAGGTTAAAAAATTTCAAGAACGCATTTTCAGTTGATGTCTGTGGCGAAATTTGCGGTAACCGCTTTAAAATTCATATAAATGATGACCTTAACCCTAACCCTGCCAGACGCAGCACAGTGTATCAGGTGGAAAAGTCTGGTGCACTTTGATGGAAAATGCTACCAACACCAGTGCAGAAACCGGCCACTTCTGAGACACTGAGGGCTAGTCCCATGGAACAATGCCCGAGTTGTATCCTGCTGCGTTGGGGGACAACAGACTCTGAGGCAGTTTGGCCTTGAGACTTTTGACCTGATGGATCTTGCTACACTGGGCAGGCTTGTCACTTAGACAAGTGTTGCATGTTGCTGCGTTTGGCAGGGTTTCTAGCCAAAATACCCTGGAGGGTTAGGGTTAATACAGGCAACACCTGTGCGCGAAAAAAATTGATTACATCATCAGACCGGAAGTTACAATCAAACGACCTCTTTTCCTATGAAAATTGCTAAAAAATCAACAGTCAGTGATATAATCAAGTTTTGTTCTTTAAATGGCACTTTAATAATAGGTCTAAAACTTCCCAAGGTTTTGTTACAATAAATTAATTACAAGAGGCCCTGTAGCCCCCTTGAAATTCGCAGTTGAACACGCCTACGCATTGAAACGCTCATTTAATGCCACGTACATTGTGTGTACAGCAAATGGGGATAATTGCGTACAAAGGGAAAATCCCGAAAAACAGTGCTGCAGGAACTTCCCGTCATATGATACTCAAAAATTGGGCTGGCAAAAGTGCCCAATTGGGCGCTTTTTTAATTTGGCGTTTTTTTTCTAAAAACATGCGCATTAGGGTAAAGAGGGTATGGCGAGCAATATCTTGTATTGCGCCAATGGTGTGACCTTTACTTTTGGAGCTATTTAATGGTTTTTTTTAACAATTGCACTAGTTTAGTTTACAGTACAGCCGCATACGCGCATGCAGATCCTCACCTGACTCTTTTTAACTATCCTCTGTAGAATTACTCCACATGCTATTTTTCAACCGTCAACCCTCCACATCAACATCAACAATCAACAACAATTAATCAACAATCAACATTAACATTAACATCATGCATCAACAATCAACATCAACAATCAACATCAACAATCAGCAATCAACAGCAACATCAACAATCAACATCAACAATCAACATCAACAATCAACAATCAACAATCAACATTAACATCAACAATCAACATCAACATCAACAATCAACATTAACATCAACAATCAACATCAACAATCAACATCAACATCAACAATCAACATCAACATCAACAATCAACAGCAACATCAACAATCAACAGCATCATCAACAATCAACATCAACAATCAACATCAACAATCAAAAATCAACATTAACATCAACAATCAACAGCAACATCAACAATCAACATCAACAGTCAACAATCAACATCAACAATCAACATCAACTATCAACAATTAACATCAACAATCTGACATTCAACATCAATAACCAACATCAGTAATCAACATCAACAATCTCCATCAACAATAAACAATTAACATCAACAATCATTAACAAAAAAACATCAACATCAACAATCAACATCAACAATCATCAGCAAACTACATCAATAATTGTCAATGAATATCAACAATCAATTATCAACAATCAACAATCAACATGAACAACTACCATCAACTATAATCAACAATCAAAATCAACATCAACATCAACAATCAACAATCAACATCAACAACCAACATCAACAATCAACAACAATAATCAGCAACGCGAAAAAGCCATACCTCTAGCCCAACACCTTGTGTTTGTCCTCAAACTCTAGTGTATTTTTGTATTCGTTGACTATTCTTCAATGCAAAATTTGCAAATTCATTTCCAGAACTGATTGTCAAAATCAAAACCCACATGAACTTCATTTGTCAATACATGAATGCATAACCCACTAAAGATGTGCTTTTTTGCAATTACGTCATCATGACGTCATCATGGGTCACGTGACGTCACTTCAGAAAATAATAAATTTAATCTTTGAAATTCAATATAAAATCAACAGTGAGAGACCAGAACTTGAATTTTGCGGGAATAGACATGATGATACATGATCTTCATTTCATCCCCTGCGCGTGAAATCATGTAACCCTTCCTTCCTGTCGAAACCGGAAGTGCTTAATAATTTGAAGGTAATAAAAAATATGAACTTGCTTTCAACAATGTTAGTGTCTCGATGTGTTGACCTTTAAAAAAAAAATGATCAGTGACACCACGATTAGTTCGATCGCCCTCTAGCCGCAGGTTAAAAAATGTCCAAAATGCATTCTCAGTGGATGTCTGTGGCAAAATTTGCGGTAATCGCCTCAAAATGATGTATACATGATAACCTTAATGCAGACAAGACCTGTGCGCGAAAAAAAATTGATTACGTCATCAGACTGAAAGTTAGAAGGAAAAGACCTCTTTTCCTTTGAAAATTCCTGGAAAATTAACCCTGGGGGATTTAATCTCGATTTGTCGGTTAAATGGCAGTTTAGAAATAGGTCTAAAACTTCCCCATGTTTCGTGGCAATAAGTGAACTTTGAGATGTCCTGCAGCCCCCTTGAAATGTGAAGTTGACAATGGACGCCCTGACTAAGTTAAACATGGATTAAAACAGGCATTTGGAGTTGATTTGTGTGGAAAAGTTTGCGGTAGTCAATGGCCCAACACCGTGTGGTTGTTCCTACAACCTCTAGTTTTTATTAAATAGCATGTCCAGGAAAATCCCTAATTTGCATATTAACACACGTACTTGTACATACATGTACAGCAAGTGCAAGTTGACCTGTAAATACTTGTCCTTGTTAGCCCTATCCCTAATGTTATGTTTCAAATGTTTAAATACAGTATCTTGCTAGCTCTAGATAGTGGTGGAACTAGGGGGGTATCACTTGTGGAGGCGTGTGTCCCCAAGTGGATCCATATCCCCGGTGCCCCCATATCCCCCCCCCCCCCTTCAGTGTGAACTGTTTGAGCTGGGTGTCACCATGTTGGTTGTTCAATGAATGTGATTAGAACTTGCCCATCTCATTTTGAAAGCCAAGTGTGCAATACTAGAGACAGTAGGGTTAAATTTCTGGTCGAGAAGGGGGGGGGGGCCCACATGGGTTGCCTTACATTTTTCAAGGGATATCGCACTTCAAAATAATATATGAGGCAATTGATATACATGTATGTGCCAAATGATATTTTTTTCAATTCAAGATTCAAAGGGGGGGGGGGGGAGGGCCGATAGACATCTTGGTGCAAGGCACCTACATTGTACTTGTACTGGGAGACACGTGCCCCCCCTCCCCACCCCCCCCCCATCCCCTCCCTGCTACCCCCATAGTTACGCCACTATAGAGCTACATGTACATGTAGCAAGATGCTGCATAAACAATGGACACAACATATTAGGGTTTTAAAGGGCAGTGATTAATGTGCACAAGCAGTATGTACATTTAAAAAATATGCAAATTAGGTTTTTTCCCGGACATGCCATCTTTAAAAATTATAACTTCAAAACTTTAAGAGCGCCCATCCCAATTTTTTTTAAGATTGTTGCTGACATCATAAACTAACATTTTTTGAAAAAAAATTACGAAATCTGAAGCATATTGATTTTCGCAATTCAAGGTCAAAGGTCATTTCGTTACGCATTTTCTCTCATGCTACGATTTTGGTTTTATTTTATGAAATGGAGGCCATTCAAAGAGCTTTAATATGATGTACAACTTGGCTTTGTAGGTGCTAGATTTTGAGATAAAAGTATTTAAAGTTCGGAGGTCATGCTAATTAGTCAAAAGTTCGTGGACTGTATCTCAAAAACTAACGAACCAATTTACAAATAAATTCAGTTTAAGGGGTTTCTCATATACATGTAAGCCATTCAGCACACCAAATATCGTTTCAATCTGTGAAGGTCAGGTCCAAAATTGTGTTGAATTGACACGGAATGACCCATGTATGTTAATTTTCATCAATTTGTATTGTGCGTTAGGTAAGTGTTTCAAAACTTCTTTGGTTTTTATTGTCTGGTACATGTAAGTCAATAACGAAACATAACCAGGAGCATACAAGTTGAAGTATGGTACACTTTCTTTGAGGCAAATATTGTGATTGACATGAACATACTGTATATGTATACGCAGTTCTCTCAAGATTTGATTTCAACATAAGATTTTGCAACAACCTCACCTTAATGATCCTTTGGAGCCACCTACTTTTCGACTGCATGTTCTGTCATTACAGGAATCAATAAGCCGCTTTAGGATGAACAGACACTCTCTGAAGGTAGAGATGAAAGGATGATGACTCAGTATGCACAGTGATGTCAGGGAATTATTGCGAACTTTCTTGGCCTGCTTGAGTTTTCTACGAGTTCTTGGTGACCTTTTCCTTTGTCCTTCATCTGAGGGCACACTTAGAGTTCCATTTCTGTTGGAATTCTCTCTGTCGTTATGCAAAGCCTTTTCATTCTGATGTTCCATCTTTCTATCAGAGGATTTAAAGGGCCGATAGAAGTTGACACAAATACCATATCTTGCTCTTCCGCTGTCTTTATCAGTCAAAGTAAAAACAAAGGATGTGTTTTCTCTGAGGCTCAATTTCTTCTGTCCAACTGTGAGGCAACCTTCTGGCTGACAAAAGAACACAACATCTTGAGGTAACGGAAAATCTGGGTGGTCATCTTGAGGGTAACGACGTAGCATTTCTGGTGTTTGTGCAACATTATTGTTGCTATATGGATGGCGACTTCCCACAATTAATATATAATCCAGTAGACGGGGAGAAAAGTATTTTTTGCCAGCTTGAAATCCTTCCATGTTTGCATGCAGTGTACTGATCAATATTCCAAATTCCTAGTCACACTCAGTCTTGTCCTGAAAACTCCAGCAGCATCATTGGTGATTTGCGAGTGAATAGTCCCACCATCCTGGTGTGTTACACATAACTGTCAGCTATGAATAAAGAAAATGAAAGAAAGACCTAAGAATAAATTCTGACTTTACAATGAAATAGTATTCATAAATACCTAAGACAGTTTACCCATTCCCATTGGTCGAGAGCCCGTCACGTGGCCGGTCTTTTAAAACAGATGATTAAGACATGGCTGGCTTGGTCTTAAACACTTTTCCAGTGTCACATGAAATTTGACTCCTTTGAAATCCCATGCATTTTACCATCTTATTGGTTGAATGTTCACAATCCTCACGTAGGCATGCGCAATACTACCAGTGAGTCAGTATTGCATAGTCCTAAATTCACAACGCACTCACCACTGCTGCATCTGCGCGTCATCCCGCAGTATGCACGCCAATCTCCATAAAAGGAGTTGTTTACGTCTTATCTCGCAAGCTGGACACTCCATTATATAGCTAGAGGAGTGTTTTGAAAAACAGAAAGTAAAATTGTTGAACAAAATCGTTGTTTTGAGTTTTGGACCAAAAGGTTTTGATTTGTTACCGAAAAGGTACTATGAATGGGAATAAATACGTGCTTGGTCGGTATTAAACACTATGTTAAAGACTGGTTGGAGTCTGGAATGCTGATAACATGTAATAACCCTCGGCTTCGCCTCGGGTAATTATCAGCATTCCAGACTCCAACCAGTCAACATAGTGTTTAACACCTCCCAAAAACACATTTATTCCCTTATTTAGACCCCGTTCCCACTTGATCCAGCAATTGGGGGATCTGATCCACCTTTTGCCAAATTGCCGGATCAGATCCCCTAATTGGTGGATCAGATCCGGCAATTGTGTGTAGTGGGAACGCTAACCGTTATAAGGTGGATCAGGATCAGATCCACCTTTCTTGATCCACCTCTGGAGCAGGATACAGATCCCCCAATTGGTGGATCAGATCCTGCAATTGGCGGATCACGATCAGATGGGAACGCAAAAGGTGGATCTGATCCGGCAATTTGACCTGTCATCATCCGCCCAGTGCATGAGTGGCATGAAAATGTTGCGGTCTTATGAACGAAGAAACACGTTTTCAGGCGTGTAGATCGTGTGAAATTTCCAACGTACACCACATGCACAATAAACAACTGCTGAACTACGGGCTAGCACCGCGCATGCACGATGTGTGCAGCGCACGTGGTATATCCTAAAACTAGGCCTTTTCAGTTTTCGTTGCGTATTCGTCCATTTATAAACCTTTTTCATTCGTGAAATTTTACTTATTTTTAATCCATAATTAACTCTGAGTCCGCACTCACCAAACCACGTCACTTTGGCACAGAATCATAGAAAAGCTTACGCGTATGCGATGAGAATAGTGCCGATAATGCGGTACGTACAGAGGTGACAAATCTGTAGTATACAAATATTGAATGCTTTGAGTGGTGTAGTAAAACTAGCCTCCCGAGGTAATCCATGGACATTCTATTTTCCCGAGGCGAAGCCGAGGGAAAATAGAATGCTCCATGGATCACCGAGGGAGGTTAGTTTTACTTCACCACGAGATAAAGCATTCAATATTTTTTTTATAACACTTCACCCACAGATTCTGCTTGGTTTTAATATTCTAAATTATTTAAATCTGAACACAGTTGAAATAAACTTCCATTTTAATACAAAATTGGTGGAAAATGTATTTCTCTCTTCCAAACTACCCCTTCGCGAAATGTTTGAACCCAACTCTGTGACGCGCTCTCTTTGGAACAAAACGTGCTACGCGCATAGTACTTTGGTTGCTACGGGTATAGTACTTTTGGCCGTGCACAGAAAGATAGCAAAAATAGAAAGTATCATGTGACTCACTCTCGGCCAATCAAGACACAGAATTTGTGGGTGAGGTGTTATAATATTGATTATAGAAAATTGGAAAATGATGTCGTAGTACATCATGTGCCCATGTTTAAACAATGAGAAGCTTCAGAACCAGGGAATCCCTTATCGATGCATTGGTTTCTGTCGACGTCACGCAATGAGCAACGCTGTACGATTTCACCAGTTAATTTATGCACGCACGGACCCTTTACGGATCCGTGATTTATGTCGGTGAATTCACGTAATTTTTGTCGGTGAATTCTGATAGCGCTGTTTGAAAACTGACTCATCCTAGCATGCAACACTGGCAGTCCCACAGAGCGCGCGTAATTCAGAACTCAGTGACCTTTTGGACTCGACATTTCCGTACGAAAAGGTGGATCAAGCATAAGTGGGAACGCGACTTGTGGTTTCGTTGCGGTAAGTTAACGATCACACCAAAATGCCGGATCTTGATCCACCTTTTCCCAATTCAAGTGGGAATGCCGTGTTATTAATCTACCTACTGTTAAGGGGAACCTTAATCCACAAGTTAAATGTACAATGCAAACATCTTTCTCCTGTCCTAATTGCCTAGGGAAACTGTAATAAATATTGGTTATTGTAACTGTGTCTCCATGCATTCACTCCCAAGTGAATGACTAGTACTACTTGTTTACATTGCAACTGATGCTCATGCATGTCATGCAGCACATTAGTGCATTGTGTGTGTGTATATACGAACAATGTATACATATATCACAGAACAGCGCTTATATTGCAAATTTGCAGTGGTTGGATTTCTGTGTTGGTTATCATGGATATTTCTTAATGAAGTATCTAAGTCAAGAGACCATGCATGGACAATCAAGCCATTCATAAATTTCAGTTTTATTTCTACAACTTTTTGTACCAAGAGCCGTACATGTACATGTATGTATGTATAGTCGTATCTATTTTTTAAATTTTATCTTCCAGCACCCGATTTCATAAAGCTCATCGCAACTTGCCTGCAACACGTCATATCCCTATACGATGCAACTTGCCTGCAACACGTCATATCCCTATACGATGCATCGCAGCTGCGACACGTCCTGCAACTCATTTCACAAAACATGTCATAAGTGCGACCACTGATCTCTATATAAAGACTGGATAGCGGATAAGCATACAACATTCACACAGTAGACTTTGCATATTGACCAATTCGCCCCCGGTCTCACGAAGATGGCCGCGTATATACGAACGTTCTACGCGTAAATACGCGCGCGTTGTATCAACAGTTGACGCGCATTTTGGTCACGTACACATATTATGATGTTCTAAAAAGGACACATTTCCGTAGTGATTATTATTTCAAAAACGCCGAAAAAGTGATTTGCGGCATTATATTTAGTAACATTATAAAAGTAACCACGACGTTAGAAAAATTGTAGTAAACCTTGGTCAGTTGGTCAGTGGTGGTGGCCAAAATATAAGTCAAGTGAACTGCGACGTTGCAAAAGAAATCATGCTGTCTATAAAAACGACAACTTGTCCTTTGTAGATCACCAGCCGGTCTCACCAATATGGCGTCAAATTCGTACATTGTGCGGCTCTGTATTAGCTATCCAGTCTTTATATAGAGATCAGTGAGTGCGACGCATCATATAGCACAACACTGTATTTATTCAGCGTACAGAAAATAGTTGTCTGTTATTCAACAAATTGGATCTCCTCTCAAAAAGTTTTTAAAACGTAAAACAAAAATTGTGGACGCGCGATGCAGTTTTTAAAGATATAGTCCATCATTTTTAATTTGTGCATTTTGTTCGTTTGAAGCAACAAAAGTGTTCAAAATCTGATGAAGGATACTGAACAACTAACCTGATGAAGTTTCAGCTCAGCTTCAGCTGTATATTCCGAGAAAAACAGCATTCTAGGATCTCAATTTCAAATCAAAAGTTGCTGAATCATGTTTTGAATTGCAGCTATACGCGATGTCGCGCACTGATCCGACGAATTATAGCAACCGCGCTCGCCTGTGCGTCGTGCCAATGCTTGCGCGCACTGCGCCGAATAACAAAACGAACTACTAATGTAAATTTTCCTACGGTGCGTCTTAAGACGCACTGTTGGAAAGGCCTTCTTTCGTTGATTACTTCAAAATGATAGCTTGCCAAAAAGATTAATTTCACAGGGAGTTTAGTCCACTTACTATCTTTCAACCAAGTACGTTTTTCAACAATAATACGCCAGTTACTTTTTCGGATGGCTGCAAATGATGGACTATAGCTTTAAGGAAAACAAGCTCGCGGTGGACGGTATTAATACTTTCAAATTCCCACTGCAATATTCAAGGCAACTTCATAATTACTTCAATGCATTGTCCATTTACAACTTTACACACATTGTCTCAGTATTATAGTCTCGTTTATGTAATTTTTATGGCATAAAATTGGCTAAGAAAAGAGCGCATCTTATTTTGCGATGACCACTAGGCACGTCGTAACTTGCGACGTGTTTTAAGCCGTTGTCAAGGAACTTGGGGACGTCCCATTGGTCCCACATCCCATTGGTATGACGTCCCATTGGTCCAAAGTCCCATTGGTCCGACGGTTAGGGTTAGGGTCAGGGTCAGTCAACCTGAACCAGTGGAACTCGGACCAATGGGACGTTTGACTATAATTGTTTTTTGTTTAAACGTTTAAACATGTAAACGTCACATCCTTCATCCAGACACCCCTTCTTTGGTTGTGCAGCAACTCCAGCTGACATGTTCATCAGGAATTCGACTTGTAACGTGTCGAATTCCTGATGAACATGTCAGCTGGAGTTACATATGTACGCAAGCAATTTTAAAGTATTTTCTATTGGAAATTTTTCTCAGTTCCAGATGCATGTCTTTTGATAACATTAATGCGCCTATCAAACATTTCATAGGCGCATTAATATTTCCATGATAGTATGTATATATAGTACTAGGCCTACTAGTACTAGTCATGCTAGTAGTAGTACTAGCTAGTAAAGCATGTAAATTATTGTCAAGTACCAAGCACACAAGTATCCAAACCAGATATGAGATGATAGTGGATATATTGCCGGAGGTAATGCCGGCAAGCTAACGTTTACAAAAGGTTTGCTGGCGGCAACCCATATCAACAGAGGGCGCTGTACTCTCTAAGATCGGGCTGAATTATACAGTCGACTCTCGTTAGTACAAACTCTGTTAATACAAAATTCTGGTTAATAACAAACATAAAGCCATGGTTCCGACTGTGCATTTATGTGCACAATGAATGGGACTGATGTTCCTCTTAATACAAAATTCTGATATAAACAAACAATTTGTCTAGGTCTGATATAAACAAACAATTTGTCTAGGTCCGAACGAGTTATAACGAGACTCGACTGTATTAAATTACCACCAACAGTTGTGTAGCACCCTTGGTCTAGTGGATAAGCAACAGATCTGATGAGCGGGAAGACCCGGGTTTGATCCCGATCCCCGCTGGCGACATTTCTAAGTTTTTTTTTCCCCCATCCCCCCAAAATAAGAATATTGTTCTTTTATTATTTTAACATAACATGTCTCAAACATTTTATTGGAGAGTAGGGCCTATTACATTTTCTTTTTCAGATTTGTGGCTCTGGAGGATTTTTTTAAAGGGAAATAAAGTCTGAAATTGTAAAATGGTCTGATTCCCATCTTGTGAATACGAAGTTACAACGATAATGTTGGCATGGAGCCAGACTAAAATTTGTCACCAGAAAATATTTTTAAGCACAAAAAAACAGTAACTGCGCATGTTCAGTGCCAGCCTCGACTCCATGGGCGCGTGCTTGTTCCTTACACTAACCCCTGGCTGTGATGATGACGTAAATGACGCTGAATGGCTATTCACAGCGTACTGCGCGGGCATTTCGAAGATTGCACACTGGGCGCGCCCATAATGCGCTCGCGCTTGCATGCTTAGCTTTGCACGTAACGTCACGTACGAAAAAAAAAATTATGATTCAAATGTTGCGATGCCTGTACGATATGGATTATGTCAGCCGCGTTTTTCGCTTAGAAAACCCTGTATCTGTGGTTGTAAAGGCACGAAAGGGGTACATACATTTAATACAAATCTTTGCTAATTAACACAATGTCCAAACGTTGTGTTTGAAAGGATTGATTCTTCAAAATCACAACCTTTAACATTTTAAAGATGGCATCGGCACGTAAAACGGATAAACTGCAGCCCTAATTAAAATGTGCCGTATTTTGGCACATTTAAATTACATGTACACAATTCCAGGGGTTACGATCGCGCAAGGCATGATGGGAAACAACATGGCGCTGCAAGATCGTACCCACAGGGCACGAGGTTGGTTCAGTGCATATCCGGCAAGCTAACGCCTAGTACTAAAGGTTTGCCGTCTCCGGCAAAATATCCACTGCCATATGAGATAGCATTAAAATTATCGCCATATCGGTTCTTCAGTTCCACGTAATAAGACCATGGATGGAAGTAGCTTCCTCCGTGATTAACGTTAGACTGATACTGATACAACGGTAATCCTTACTTTTAGGACCCCATTCATATATAAGGTTAAAAGACTCACCAAAACAGCTGACTAAATGATAATCAAAAGTGACAATCTGATATTTCTTGGCACACTTGAACATTTGGCAATGACACCTCTTGAATATCAGCAGGTTTAATTTTGTAGAAAGAGGGCAGGGCTCCGGGCTTTGATTTAAGAGGGGTTAAAGACGATGATGACAAACAGAAAATATATTAAAAAAGCAAGATGGCGAACTGCAAAATAAGGTAGAAAAGTCACATTTTCTTTGAAAGTGCTTTCAAAATTACAACTAACAAAAGTAACATGAATCATATGAGTTTATCTGAGAAAAAAAAGACTGCTTTAGCCTGCAAAAGTCACTTTGGTACCGGACAGTCATCTGCAAAAGTCAGTTTTGAACAGAACTCATAAAAATAGAGGTGTCCTAAAGATAAGGATTACCGATACAACGACGTTTAGCTGTCATCACGGATGCTGTCAAATAACACATTCGGTAATCCTTACTTTTAGGACCCCGTTCCTATATAGGAAGGGAAAGACTCACCAAAACAGTTGACTAAATGACACTCAAAATTGACATTCTGATACTTCTTGGCACATCTGAACAATTTGCAATGACACCTTCTTGACTTCTAAAGACTGCTTTAGCCTGCAAAAGTCACTTTGGTACTGGACAGACATCTGCAAAAGTCAGTTTTGAACAGAACTCGTAAAAAATAGAGGTGTCCTAAAAGTAAGGATTACCACACATTCCATGTCATTTTTCATTGTCATTCATTGTCAGTAGGCCGGACATTATCCATGTTATCACCGACACTTTTCAGCTAGTCGTATACATTTCGACACGTCCGGAAAAGGAGAAATCTCCGTAGTTGATACAATAATATACCATGAAATATGTAACAACTTACATGAACAAATTTGCAGTTCGTTCTTAACATGTAACAGTCCTCGAGTACATACCTCCATCACTCGTTTGCTCAATATGTCTGCCATTTTCATCGAGAGAGCTAGTTAGCCCTAGGCGCTTCATTCACTAGCACTGCGCATGTTCTCAACACCTACGCGCTTGTACGTGCGTCATAGATTTATGCAGGGGCGCGCGAGAGGTATACGTACGTACATGTACGTACGTACATGCACAGCAAGCTGCTGCTGCCGCCGGCTGCCTGGCCGGCGATCGCGAATGATAATGAGGATGAATCGATCAGCCGAATCTTATCTTCATAATTCGTGATTATGCGGGTACATTACTGTTTTGCGCCTAGTGATAGAGTAGGCCTAAAAACCAAACGGTGTTTCCATCCTCGGCATTTGCATTTGCTCCGTGATTATGAAATTAGCGGTGCCGGTGTATCCAAGCCGGGCCCGCCCACTTTGCTGCCTCAATGTCAAACCTCAATTATTATTGGCGTCAAGTGAGCAATTAATTTTTCTCGGCTCTCTTGCAATTCAATTATCCGAGATGAGCAGAGATTTTAAGTCAGCAAATTAAAAACTCACTGTTGTGCAAATCATGCAAGAGCTCCCTGTATGATTGCTATAAGTGTAACTGGAAAGCTGAGCTGCTTTCCGTTTTCTGGGTGGGGGGTTTGGCAAGTTGTTTTGTGAGGTTATAAACGCACCCACATTCAACAGCAAAACAAATCATTCATTTACCACGGAACCATGGAGCTATAAAACACATCTTCATGATTAAACATAGCCTGGTTTAACTGGTGTGCACATGTACGGCACGCGCGGATCCAGATGGGGGCACTCCCGGCCCGTGCCCCCCCCCCCCCCCCCCCCCCCACCCACCCCTTTTCGCAACGTTTGGGGGTTTTTTGGTGTTTTTTTTTACGAGTCGTCTTAGGGCGGGCGGGCATTACATACACCCCTTTGATAACATGGCTATCTTTTTCGTTTTTGAGGAGTCATTATGGCGGGCGGACGGGCGGTCATCAAATCAATCGCTTTGAACATAACTATCATACATAATTATCAACAAAATATACAATGTATAAGTTTTGAAGGTCGCCTGTCAATCATTGTCTCAAAATTTCTTTCAAAGCAAGAATATTTTTTTAAGACACTTTTCTATTTCCCGGCTTGAATAGGGGGCACATTTAATACAGCACTTGCATTTAATGCTTCATGTCAAAATATATCCAAAATATATCCAAAATATCGTTAAAGTTTGCACTCTAAGTTAATTCTTTTGTAGATTCCAGGGGAAATTTTATACGAATTATGCTCGGTTTTTCTTATTTTTAAATGAATATGATCAGGATTAACAACATCCCTCAAATAATAGCGTCTAAATAAATTCCAAAATATATTCTAGAGAAAACATTTTCACAAAATAATGTAGGCCATGAGTTTTATTTTTTAAATACACGAAGAATTAATCGTCATCCCGTTTATATTGTCCCGGCCTCAGATAGAGAGAGACATCAAATAAATAGGGGTTATTTTAATACGATTTAGTATGTCTTGTTCTCTCGATTTATTTTTAAAGTAAAACTATTTCAAACACCCTAGCCCATTAAGTTCTGAACTCTCAGTTAATTCTTTTGTAGATTCCAGGGGAAATTTTAATACGAATTATGCTTAGTTTTTCCTAATTTTAAAAGGAATACGAATAAGATTATCAACAGCCCTTTGACTTCAAACTTAATTTCAAAATGTATTCCGAAATAATTATATTTTAGAGTAACATTTACAAAAATAATGTAGGCCATGCAGTTTTATTTTTTAAATAAGCGAAGAATAAAATCGTACTACGAAAAAAAGACAGCCTTTCCAGAGAATGATTGATAGCCGCTTTGTTCAAATTGATACAATGCCACTCTTGTTCGTTACAAAGCATATATATTTGGGTTCAGCTGTAGGCCACCGAACTTTAAGGCCTTTGAGAACTTGCCGCCAGTAATTGGAAGATTCTTAGATGATAAACAGTGATGATAGTATCTCAGCCAATGAAATGAGGCGGTTCCCGGCAAATAAGTTTGCCATTGGTTGCTTTCATCACGGACCGTCTGCTTTCATGAATATGACTTCCTTCCACGCGCAACTGGAGTGATTAGCTATCTGAGCCACAGGTGCATGGCTGCATGCCCATCACATTCAAACCTGGTTGCTTAGAAATACTGTTGCTAGGAGGCTCCCCTGTGATGCCTGGGACTGCCGGTTGCGTAGCCAGAAATCTTGTATGTGACTATTTTGAAACCTTGTATGTGAAAGCGGCAGCTCAGGAATGCTGCCGCTTTCGGGAAATTTGTGCAGGCAAAGTTTTTTCATACTTTGGAAACTGGAATTTTGATGCAGTTTGCATTGCCGTTAAATAAAAGGTTGTTTTTTTGGTTTTCTTTTTAAGAAAATCGGAGCCCCCCCCCCCCCAAATACAAATAAACGATTTTCCTCAGGCCTTGACATTTCTTGAAGTGATTCGACAACACTTGCAGAATGCAGACGACTCATTTCGTCTTAAATTATTTAGCCTGCAGACTTCAAAAGAACATTGGAAAAAATGGTGGTTAAAGTGTATACAAGTGTATATACAAAGTAAGTATATATACATGTATGTGTGACCGCAGTTACCACACATTATACTGGGACACAGGCGGCAGTCTTTTTGAAGTCTTGACTGAACGTTTAAACACTATGGGAAAATTTTGCTAATATCATCAAATTTTTTATGACAATCGAGATGGTTTTGAAATCGGTAAGTTTTATTTCTTCTTTTTGTTTGTAAAGACTATTCGTAATGTAATACTCAGCAGGCTTATAAGTTATACAACATTTTTCAAAGGAATTGGGACAGAGACATTTTCTGGGCCGGTTGAGTTGCTCAGCCGTGGGGTGGGGTGGGGGTAGGAGCTGCTTGGGGCAGGCTGTCCCCTAATGAAATTCAATTTATTTTATTTTATTTGTTTGCAAGGCAAATTTCTGGGTAGAAATGTATGTTTTAATAGTAAACATGACTTTTTTTGGCTCGCTCGCAAAATAACACATGTTCATTTTTTTTCCACCCGGGGGCTGTCATCAGCACCTTCTAATTTTGGGGTTCATTTTCAACTATAAACATCAACAGTAACTTTAAATTCTATATTTGATAGAAAAAAATAGTGTTATTAAAAATAAAAAATAAACATTGTGAATTTTGCTCTTAATGGCTTAAAATACTCATGATGTAGGAGATAACATCTAAAATCGTAGAGCTTCCAGTGCCCTCAACCCCGCCCGCAAGGGATTTCGCGCTTCAGTCTCGTTATGTGTGCAACGCGCACAAAGTTTTTGTGCCCCCCCCCCTTTCTTAAATCCTGGATCCGCCCCTGTACGGTGTATATGTAGCATGCAAAGCAGGATCAAGGTAATTTTTCTGACAGTATCCCCCGGCCCCTGAAACAGAAGCCTGTATGGAGGCCAGCATGGAGGATGAAAAGTGGACATTCTGCTAACTCTTGCTGGAGGTACGGTGCAGAAAATCGGACCGGACGTTATATGGAGAAAAGCAGGTGGCCACTTTTGCAATTGTGCCCCGAGAAAAGTTGAAATCAAAGCAGAAAAAAAATATTTTGTAAAGCCTGCCCTTTTCCATTCAAGTGCCCTTTTTTTCCCCGCAAGTTTTTACCCCCAACTCATGCAAGGGCGGTTCCGGGAAGGGGGGGGGGGGACGGGGGCCCTGGCCCCCCAAACGGATCATTTTTTTTTAATGACGTCGCAATAAAGGCAGGCAATGCGTACACCACCATATTCTCCTTAAACAAAATGGTTAAAGTGGTCAGAAATTGCCTCAGATTGCACCGGACCACAGAGCATCTAAAATCCACAAAAAAATTCGGGGCCTTTCAGCGGGCCCCGAACCCCACGCCGTAATTTTTTGGACCCACTTTTTGAGGGACCGTCAATTTTTTTGGCCCCCCCCCCCAAAAAAATGCGTTCCTAGTCTTGGCCCAAGACGTCAGTGATCAAGAGCGATAGTAGCAGGCTCGTGAGAGACCGGAACCTGGAATTTGCGGGAATCGACATGGTAATACATGATCTTCATTTTATGTTGTGCGCGTAAAATCACGTGACCCTTCATTCCGGTCAAAACCGGAAGTGCCTAATAATTTAAAAGTGGAAAAAGATATGAACTTGCTTTTAACGATTTAAGTGTCTGTCTGGATTAACCTTTCAAAAAAAGTAATGGGTGACGCCATGAAGTGTTGGAGCACCCTCTAGCGGCAGGTTAAAAAACGTCAAAAACGCATTTTCACTTGATGTTTGTGGCGAAGTTTGCGGTAATCGCTTCAGAATTAATGTACATGATGACCATAATGCAGACAACACCTGTGCTCGAACAAAAAAATTGATTACGTCATCAGACCGGAAGTTACAATAAAAAGACCTTTAAATCTTAAAAAATTGCTAGAAAATATACCGTGATAGATATAATCAAGATTTGGCTGTATACAGCACAGTAAATATAGCTCAGGAGGTTTCTGGTAATGACGTCATTATGACGTCATCAAGTAGCGTATTACAAGCAATCAAAGATATCTAGATTTAATCTTTGAAAATCAATGTAAAATCAACCGCCACAGATTTGATTTTGTTCTTTATGGCAATCGATACAATATTGCAGGGTCTTCATTTTTGGTATTAAGTGCAAAATCACGTGACCCTTTCTTCCGGTCGAAACCGGAAGTGCCTTATTATTTGAAATTGGCAGATGCGAACTTGCTTTCAACGATGTGAGTGTCTGCCTAGGCAGTACTGTACAAACATATTACAGATGACGTCATCAAATGTTAGAGCGCCCTCTAGCGGCAGTTTAAAAAACGTCGAAAACGCATTATCACTTGATGTATGTGGCGAAATTTGCGGTAATCGCTTCAAACCTAACATACATGATGAACTTAATGCAGAAAAGACATGTGCGCGAAAAAAAAATGGATGACGTCATCAGACCGGAAGTTATAAAGAAAAGACCTTTAAACCTTAAACAATTGCTAAAAAATCAACCGTGGGAGATAATTATAATCAAGATGTGGCTATATAAAGCAGAGTAAATATAGCTCTGGAGGTTTCTGGCGATGACGTCACAATGACGTCCGAAATCCGTACCAAGTTGAAAAAATAGTAGCCTCCACTCAAGCCTGGTTATAAAAACCATGCCCCATAGGAAAGCACACAAAGTACCCCAGATAGTTGTG